CACGCATTTTAATATTTCACCTAGTTTTTAACATTCTTATCTTCTTATCTCTTTTTTTTGGCGACACAATTTCTCTTTATTCGTCGTATTGGCAAGATTATTCATTAGCGAGTTCCTCCTCCTGCAAGATTCTGAAATGGATAAATTCTAAAATTTGCGTGCAATTTGACGTAATTGTGTCATATTACGGTTTAAATTTGATATGTTGGCAAGATTCTTAGGTCTTGTGCAAATATTATTTTCTAAATATTATTTAGCATAGTTGGTAGTAAGTAGCCTATTGTTCACATACCACAGAAATATCCGCTTAAGACCAGTCCTCCTGAGGACCTTAGCACAAACAGCGTGGAAAAACTAAAACAAAAGAGACCAATTTTGGATTTTAAAACATCACTAAAAGTGATGACGCGTTGGATTTGATTTTTTGTCAAGTGACTCAGCAAGATGTTTGAAATAGGTTCAATAAAGTGGCTTTTGCAGAAAATTTTGTCGGGGTTTTTTTTTTTAGTCACGCAGGGAAATACTATAGATTCTGAACTTAATATTTTACGGCTAGGCTGACAAGAGTAAATTAGCAAAACTGGAAAGCGTATCTCCCTGCTTATATCCCTGTCGACGCGCATTCTTATTATGAAAGTCATTATATAGCAGTGAAATTGAAATGCTGGCTGAAAGAAAAAACACTCAATACGACTAAAATATTTTTCTTTATAATTATTTTTATACATTTCATTTTCATGCACGATGGAGATGCGAGCAAAATTCAAGTGCTGTTAAAAGATAAGTAAAACCACTTAATACGGATTAAATCCCCCCCCCTTATAATTAAGACTCATAATATCAAATTTACTCTCACCTGAAAAACAGTTTTTGTGTTAAAAATGTAATCTTTATTTATTTTTTATATATTTTTTTTGCCTTATGGTCTAGCATATTGGCCAAATCTCGAATCTTTATATTAAAAAACGATCAATGTAAGCCCTGATAGAGATGACGAGACTAATAATTACACTTTATTCCGAAAATAGGATATTTTGAAAGATTTAAAATTGCTTATGTGGCTTATATTTGAATAATAAAATAGGTTTTATAATAATTTTCGTAAAGATGTAATAAAGTCTCATGAAAAATACTTCGCCTGCTTAACATAAAATATATCAACACCTATTTCGTCCAACTATCACTTAAAAATCAACCCCAATTAGTTACTAAATATAATGCGCTTGTGAAAAATATCGGTTGTAAATGACAATATTGAATATATTCACGAACACTGCTATGTAATATCATGAAATAGTGATAGAAAAAGTTCTATATAATATATTAATGTGTGGTGATTAGTGATCGTTAATCGATATTTATTTGGAAATCGTGAGATGCGGTCTGGTGTGATGTAGGTTTCAGAAAACATTTTCTCTATCGTGCGAACGTTTCGATCTTTATTGAGATCATCTTCAGGGCTCAAAGGGTTTGTCTTCTGTGTAATTGTGCCATTCTTGCGTGTCGTGTCGAGAGTAGGCACAAATTTTCTAGCATTGTATAAATTCATTTTTTTTTTTAATCTAAAATTTTCTAGCATTGTATAAATTCATTTTTTTTAATCTAAAATTTTCTAGCATTGCATAAATTCATTTTTTTATCTAAAATTTTCTAGCATTGTATAAATTTATTTTTTTAATCTAAAATTTTCTAGATTGTATAAATTTATTTTTTTAATCTAAAATTTTCTGGATTGTATAAATTCATTTGTTTAAATCTAAAATTTTCTAGCATTGTATAAATTCATTTTTTTAACCTAAAATTTTCTAGCCTTGTATAAATTCATTTTTTTAATCTAAAATTTTCTAGCATTGTATAAATTCATTTTTTTTATATAAAATTTTCTAGCATTGTATAAATTCATTTTTTAAAATCTAAAATTGTCTAGCATTGTATAAATTCATTCCTTCACACGAAAGAATGGCACAATTACACAGAAGACAAACACTTTGAGCACTGAAGATGATCCCAATAAAGATCGAAACGTTGGCACGATAAAGAAAATGTTTTTCTGAAACCTGCATCACACCAGACCGCATCTCACGATTTCTAAATAAATAATATATTAAACTACAAATTATATAGTTTTCAGCAGTAATTAATTATTTCAAACTCATCACACAACTACAATCATGAGCTCATGGAAAAAAAATCATTAAGTCTTGTGTCTGGTGTAACTCAGTACATAACTATTTGCGAATTAATAGCATGTACACATAATCCCTGACATTTTTTAATTTTTAACATGGACATTTTAATAATGGAAGTAAATATTTAGGGTTTTATACGTGTGCTTGTGTATATGAAAGTAAGCATAACTAATAATAACTAACAAACACGACTAAATATATGTACATAAAAGTCCCAAAACAACAAAAATATGTTTTCGATGCGCTTTCGAACCTCTCCTGCTTTAATGGTGATGCTTTGTGAATTTAAGTTGATTTTCATTCCTTCTGGATCATTTCTGATCATCTCAGTGAATAATGTAAAAATACAGCAAGGATATTAAAACCGAGAAAAGATTGAAAAGAAAATAATTGTTCAACAAATGGTTGTAATTCGGTGTCGTATGTCGAAAATTTGTTTCAATCCGTGGCAGTCTTTCATAAATTTTCGTCATTTTGACACAGAATTCGTCACTTCAAATTCATATGATTTTGTCATGCTGATTTAGTACCTTGCTGTAATGTTGAATTATTCATTCCAGAAGAAATGAAAATCCAAGTGAAGAATAACTCTTTGCATATTGTAAATTTACAGCAAAAACATGAGAACCAAGAAGGATTAAAAGAAAAACATTGATCACAAATCATTGTAATGTTTTATAAATTTGTTAAGTTAAATAAAGAAAATTTGAACAACAGTTGCGCATACCTGTGAGATAATATAGAAAATTTGTCACAAACCGTCGCAATCGATGTGGATCTTCTCTTAGGATCATCTCGCCGAATAATGTAAAAATACAGCAAGGATATGAGAACCAAGAAAAGATTAAAAGGAAAACAATTGTTCAACAAGTGATTGTTATCGTTTTGTGGCTAATTTTTAGCTTATTTCACTGGGAATTTTGAACGTTTTTGCACAAATTTAGCCTGGCAAAATTACGTGAATTTAACCACTGACACATTATTTATGTAGAAATGTCAAATTTACGACAATCCGTCGCAATCGATATGGATCTTCCGTCAGGATTATCTCTTTCAATAATGTAAAATAAAGCAGGTATATGGGAGATAAAAATTATTAAAAGGAAAATAATTGTTAAACATATGTTTGTAATAGTTTAATGGGCACTTTTGCTAATTCTACTTCTATTTTTGATCGATTTAAAGAAATTTAGATTGACAAACATATTTTGGACGTTGTTGCTCAAATTCAGCCTGGACATTATGTAAATTTGAACGGTAGGCCCATTATTTGTGTGGTAATGACAAATCTGTGACAATCTGTCGCAATCGATGTGGTTTTTTTGTCAGGATTATCTCTGCATAATGTAAAAATACAGAGGATATGGAACCAAAAAAGATTAAAGGGAAAACAACTTGTTATTCTACAAATATTTGTAATCGTTTTATGGACACTTTTGCTATTATGATCGGTTTGTAGAAATGTAACATGACAAAATAAATTGGGTTCGAACAGTGACGCAGTCTGCGGAGTAATGTCGAATAATTGTGACAATCCTTGGATGTGGATCTTCTGTCAGGATCATCTCAATGAACAATGAAAAATGTAGCACCAATATGAGAGCCAAGAAATATTAAAAGGAAAATAATTGTTCGAAAAGTAGTTGTAATGATTTTATGGACAATTTTGGCTTCTTACTTTGATATTTTTGTACAAATTTTGTATAACAAAATCATGTGAATTTAAACGGTAACGCATTCAGGGTCGTAATGTCGAAAATTCAAGTCAGGATCGTCACAGTGAACAATGCAAAAATAGAGCAAGGATATGAAAGCTAAGAAATATTAAAAGGAAAATAATTGTTCGAAAAATTGTTGATATCGTTTTATGGAAGTTTTTGTTTCATCCTCTAATATTTTTGGACATTTTTGTACTAATTTAGTATAAACAAATAATGTGAATTTAAACATAGACTCATTCTGGTCGTAATGTCGGAAAATCAAGTCTTTCTTCTTCCTCTGATATTTTTGGACATTTTTGAAATATTTAGCATAACAAAATCATGCGACTTTAAACAGTCACGGATTCTGTGTCGTACTGCCGAAAATTCAAGTTAGGAACATCACAGTGAACAATGTAAAAATACAACAAGGATATGAAAGCCAGGAAATATTAAAAGGAAAACAATTGTTAGTAAAATTGTTCTTATCGTTTTATGGGGAGTTTTTGCTTCTTTCTCTGATATTTTTGTACATTTTTGAACAATTTAGCATAACAAAATCATGCGACTTTAAACAGTGACGGATTCTGCGTCGTACTGTCGAAAATTCAAGTCAGGAACATCACAGTGAACAATATGCAACAGCAGCAAAAATATGAAAGCCAAGAGATATTAAAAGGAAAACAATTGTTCGAAAAATGGTTGTTATCGTTTTATGGGGAGTTTTTGCTTCTTTCTCTGATATTTTTGGACATTTTTGAACAATTTAGCATAACAAAATCATGCGACTTTATAGAGTGACGGATTTTGCGTCGTAGTGTCGAAACTTCAAGTCAGGAACATCACAGGGAACAATGTGCAACAACAGCAAGAATACGAAAGCCAAGAGATATTAAAAGGAAAACAATTGTTCGAAAAATGGTTGTTATCGTTTTATGGGGAGTTTTTGCTTCTTCCTCTGATATTTTTGGACATTTTTGTCCAAAACTATGCGAATTTAAACAGTGACGCATCTGTGTCGTAATGTCTAAAATTTGTGACAAATCATGGAAATCGATGTGGATTAGAGAATGTAATCGATCTCTACCACATTCTCCCTCTACTGACACCCATATTCTGACCTTCTCTCCCACTACAACCTCACAGCTCACCTCTGCTGGCTCCACGGTGTTGCTGGCTTCAACCCATTCCTTTTCCAAAATGTTTAAAATCTGTAAAACCAAATCTAGTTTATTTCTCAACTTTTTCTTAGCCTGCAATAGAACTTGTATGATACAAAATATATACTCTTGATCGAGTGTTTATTCAAATCGAATCGCTTTTACTAGAAACAAATTGACACCATGCCCAAGGGAAAGAAAAAAGGAAAGTCATCAGGTATGTACTATCCACATTCGACCCGATTTTGTTCTTTTCAAAACGATCGTTCTCCATTCAATCTGGATTTTTGCCCTGATGGCCTGTTTTGTTCACTTTTTCAAGGTGTTCCCGCTCGGAAATTCGACCTGGCTAGGTTTTACTGACCTATATAAAAACTAAAACTTAAGATTTTATATTTTCATTCAATAAAAACTAGTTAACGGTTGAATTTTAAAGTAGCGATTTGATATCTGGCGTTTCATAGTTTTTTTGACCATCCCATTCAATATTCTCAATGAATTTCCTACCCTTGTCATAATTTAGACGTCTCAGTTTCATAAATAACTAGTGCAATTCATTAAAACTAAAAAAAAAAAAAAATAAATCAGGTGAAACATCAACAGGAAGTCGACGACTGCAACACGTGCCTTCCAATTGACATATTACATAACTTAAAGACTTTAAAAACCATGTATTTTTATTTATACAGTAACCTTGGAATTTTACCCTTGGTTCATCTATAAATGAAATATGAGATCTGGCGATTTTTAAACTCGTTGGCCTTTTATCCCTAAATTATGGTACGAGGGACTTCCTGCTTCAATGGAAACCAATTGCCCAATATGTCATGATCTGTTGTAACTCAGAACTTTGGACTTACCCCGATAATCTTATGATAAAATTGTAGTTTATTATGAAGTTCTGACTGTGTGATGATCTGTTGCATTCTGATTTTTCCCCCATGATTTTTTTGCGATTTCCTTTGCAGTTATTTTTTTTTATTTTTTAAGTATGCCAGCCCAAAAATATATCCTCGACTGTTTTTCCATGGATGGAAAGGGAACCTATCAAATGACTTGAGTTCCATATGGCTAAAATGTTATGGGTGTCATGATCTGTTTCATTTTTCCGATGTTATTGTTATGATAGAAATATAATTTATTATATTTAAGCTCTTGATACAAGTCCTTAACATTTTTTCAACGGATTTTTAGCAAAAACTAACTTCGAAGGTTCAAAGACCTAGCAGACTACATATGTTGAAATTCCACAAGTAAATGATACACATTTTCTCTTATGATTTTTATGATGTATTTGCCTTTTCATTTACCGTTATTTTTTGTATACTAACTCACAATATTTCTCTGTTTTTCATGAAGAGACAGGGAAAATCATATCACTTCCTGTAAGAATGATTCCATATGACTAAAATATTTTAGGTGTCTATGGTACTATCAGTAATCAATTAATTTGACTCACTTGTTCAATGTTCTTGTTATTATATGGATGAGGAAAGGGATAAGCCTTTGGCACCTCGGTCTGGGTAGATCTGTTGTGCTCCTCTATTTTTTTATAACTCTCTGGCCAGCTTCAGGTTGTTAATGAACATCCATAGCCTTGCCAACGGCTCCTTGGTGTAGGATCTTTTCCTCTCCTTCTTGCAAGAATCTGCACCTAAAGACCTTCATAGAAAGATAAAATGTGTTCTGCGGTCTCCTCCTCTTCCTGGCAGTATCTGCACAGTGTTTCTTCTGTCTGTTCACTCCTATCCGGTGCATGTGCCTTCTTAGGTGGCAGTGCCTTGTCAGGATTCCAACCGGAATGTTATGATAGAATTCTAATTTATTATATTTAATCTCTTGTCACAAGTCCTTAAGTCCTTAACTTTTAGTTCAACAGATTTCTTGCTGAAAATATTGAAAGTTCGAAGGCCTAGCAGACTACGTGTGATGACATGTTGCAATTTTATGAGTTAAATGATAAACATTTTCCCTTATGATTTTTGTGATGTATTGGCAATGACCATACATATTGTATACCAAGTCAAAATATTTCTCTGTTTTTCCATGAATGGAAAGGTAAAATTATATTATCACCTCTGTGAATGATTTCCATATGGCTAAAATATATTGGGTGTCTATTGTAACTATCAATTAACTTGACTCACTTTACCAATATGCTTGTTATGGTAGAATTGTTATTTATTATATTCACCCTCTTGACATATGTCCTTAACTTTTTGTTCAACGGATTTCCTATTAAAACTATGATTGAAAAGTTCAAAGACCTAGCAGACTATGTGTGATGATCCGTTGCAGTTCTATGAATTGAATGATAAACAATTTTCCCTTTTGATTTTTATTATCCATTTGTAATTTGATTGACCGTTACTTTATTGAAGCTAGCTCAAAATATTCCTCGGCGTTTTTTCATGAATGGAAATGGAAACTATCAAATCAGCATCCCTGTGTGAATGATTTCCATATTGGTATGATAGAATTAGTGAAATTTCCTCCTGCGGTCTGTAGGATAAAACCTTTAATTTGATCCTATTTTGATTGATTTGATTTGTGTCTTTGCTCTCAATATTTTTTTTATTTGCATAGTACAAAAGTGGTATCATTTTTCTTTCCCCCTCTAGAATTATGTTCTGAAATAACCATTAAAGTCATAATTGAAAATTATGGTTCTACTCACAAAATAGTTTTGCAGTGATTTTGACCTGTAGACGCTCATCATCAGACTATGCAGCTATCGAGTAAGGAATACAAGTGTGTACTCCGTGCAAATTGTAGATAACTCGCATAGTCTGATAATGAGCAATTACCCAAATTCATCTTTATGACTCAAACTGGGCAAATGGCCTAAAATCAAATCAGATAAATTAGACTAATTTTTAAAAACTATTGATTTATCCGCATCATAAATGATTATAGTATATACAGTCACATATTAGTAGCAGACCACTACTTGAAAAAAAAAAAAAATTACGCTGCAGAAACAATGGATAGGATAGTTTGGAAATTCCTGTAGAATGGGGCATTTGAATATCCAGTAAAATTGATATATTCTAGACATGTGTTGAATAACTGGGTTCGTGGATGAAGGGTCTAAAAATTTGAATCCAAGATGAATTGAGATGCAACGAACTGACCTGTCCCAACACAATCTTATGGATGTTCCCAAATGTTTGAGCTTGTAAGCATGTATAAATTCTTGTATACCAATGAAGAAGTACTCAAAGAGAATTTGTGAAGTTTGCATATTGCACAAACTGTATACTGACGACATACACTGTCTAAACTCATGATTAACCATATCCACAGATACATTGTGGGTTCTTTTTAATAAATTTTAACTTTATATAGCTCAGCACAAAGAATGCAGGATGATTTTTTTTTTTTAGAAAAACTACTAATTTTCAAATTTATCGATGAAATCTGAAACTTAGCTATAATTAAACTTTCTTATGGCTGTGGTTAATGTGTAACTATAGCAGGTATCAATATGGGACCTTCAATGAATCGCCATAAAACATTTTAAATCAATGCTTCAAATTTATTTCAACGATTTTCAACAGGACAAAAGGGGCGTAATGATTACATCGTAACATCTGATGAAGATTCGCTCAACGATAATGCCAGCATCATAAGTCTTGCATCAGAGGGTACAGTCTTAGAAGAAGGCAAGTTTTTTTTTAGAAATAATTTTATATCACTAATTTTCTATTAATATTTATTATTATCTACTATGTAGTTTTAAATAAATAAATTAAAAACTAGTCATTACTATGCATCTTGTTCAAGAGTAAAGTGTTATGAATAATTATTAATAGTTTTTTATTATGTAATAATCAAAACACTTGAACAAAATAAATAAAATGTCATGCAACTTGTGTTAACATATTTCTATAAAATAATTAAAACTATAAATGTAATGTGATATATATCTAATATAAAAGCTTGAAATTTATTCAAAAGTCAGGTTTTTAAACTAATTTATACATGTTTAGACTGATTACACAACATTTGAAAAATCACAAAAAGAGGGAAAATTTGAAAGGCTGTAGGTTAAGATGAGGAATTGGTGTGAGTGGATCGAAGTCACGATAGCTCAAGTGGTTAGAGAAGCGGCGTATTTAGCCGAAGGTTGTGGGTTCGAATCCCTCTGGTGACACTAACTTTTTCATTTCAACCAAAACCTTACATAAAAAGGTTAATTAATTAAAAGAAGTAATTTGGTCAATAGACCATTAAATATAATGAATTCTTCCATCGAAGAAACTCATTTTTGAAGGGGTTTGGGACCAAATTCAGGGTCGCTGATGTCTGATCCCGCTCCTTCCATTGATGAGTGCTGTGTCAATTTCTTTTCAATTGCGGCCACCGGTCCCTTAGGCGTCAGAAAAAGTCCAGAGGCGACGGTGGGGATCGAACCCACGACCGCGGGATCTACTAGCCTACAGTCTGATGCCTTAACCACATGGCTACCGCTCAAGTAGTTAGAGCCGAAGGTCATAGGTTCGAATCCCGTTCATGGCACTAGCTTTTTCATCTCAACCAACACCTTAGAAAAAGAATAATTAATTTAAATTTTTAAACTAAATATTTTGGCAGAATATTTAGTAATTTTGTAGATTATTAGGCTTAAACTGGGGCTTTCACACTAAAAAAGTCTGGTAACAAAAGACAGAAATTATGTCTCTTTACTAATCCGATTGTTTAAATTCTCATTTGAAGATTGAATTGTTTTCCTACCAAAAGTAAATGCCTTAAAAACAATTTTATTTGTCTGCAAGTTTTCTAATTGCCTGATGTTATATGTTACGATTTCCATTTGGTAAAACTTGAAAATTTATCCAACAATCGTTTGGAAATGATGTGGTCTGAGTTTGACCTCCAATAATGATGAACCCAATTCCAAGTTTTGTTCTCCTTTTTCTCCTCCTTTGTAGAAATTATTCTTAATAGCTCTTCATCAGATGAAAACATAATTACACAAGGATTAGGTTACACAACTGGTAACCTGTGACCAATGTCTCCTCAGTGTGAAGTGTTTCGTCTAGTCCCTTCTCGCCTGTCTTTGGTGTGAAAGCCACTTTTACTAATGATACAAATATTGTAACGATTAGTATTTAAAGTGTTTATTGGTTTAACAATTGAATTTTCGAATTTAGGGACAGAAGAAGCCGAAGAACAAAGTCAAAATGAAATATTTGAAGAGAAGCTTATGAATGCTATTGATGGATTGACCCAGAAATCTGCCCAAGCGAGGACTAACTGTTTAGAATCAGTCGCTACTTTATTTACCACAAAATTTATCCCAGAGTTTGTCATTAACAGGTAAGTGTTTTCATTGATTTTTAGTATATACAAATTACAGTTTTTGCTTCTTTTTTCAGGAAACTTACATTAACCGATTCTATAGAAAGATGTCTGAAAAAAGGAAAGGGTCTGGAACAGGCTGCAGCAGCTCAGTTGGCAACTTTGCTTTGTGTCCAACTCGGCTCGGGTGACATGACCGACGATGTGTGTAAAGCAATTTCACCACTTTTGACTTTTATCGTTAATGACCATTCGATGAGCGTCCCAGCAAGGTCTAAGGTATGCCATACAGGTTTTCAAAACAAAACTAAAAGCTGCCTCATTCTTGGAAAAGAAAATTGAATAGGCTTTTAAAAAGTTAAAATAGTGTTAAATTTTAAAACTTTTCAGTGTTGTTGGGCTCTGGGTTTACTTTCTTTTCTGGCCAATACTGAGGATATCGGTGACACTATGCAAACACTTGAAAATGTCTTTTCCGCTTCCTATCACAAAGGTGACGGTTCCGTCCCATCCGTTTCCCAAGACCATGCCATTCTGCACAATGCAGCTCTTTCATCTTGGAGCCTTTTGTTAACTGTCATTGAATTGGACTCTGCAATTAATATCCCGTAGGTTTCTTTCAATATGCTTTGGGGGTTTCTGGCTCATTTTAACAGTGGGTAATAATAAATCGACTTTTAGGACTATAAGACAACTTTCAGAACTCTTAGACTCGCCTCATTTGGATGTACGAATGGCTGCGGGGGAAAGCATAGCTCTCCTTCTCGAACAACAAAGGCAATCAGCTGAAGAAGAGTGGATATGGGAGGTAAAATTATCATTCAAACATCTTTTTTTTTTTAATTTTGCACACATTTCAGGCAGCAATTTTAATTAAACAAAACAATAATAATTGTATTTTTCATTTATTAGGAAAATGATGAACTTTTAGAAAAATTGAGACAGTTGGCTACAGATTCTCATAAATATCGAGCCAAAAAAGACAGAAAGACTCAAAGATCGAGTTTTCGAGATATATTAAGATATGTGGAGGTAAATTAAATTTTAATTAGTTGTAGCTTGTTAGGTTGTTATTAACTTGTGTAATACTTATTCTTATTTTAGTACGATGAATTCCCTAACATACAAGTCAGATTTGGCCAAGAAGCGCTGGCGCTTGATTCTTGGTGTAAAAAGAAACAGTACGATGCTTTTTGCCAGGTAACACTTGAAAAATGATTCTGTAATTTATTGTAAATGGCAGTATTTACGGATTTTCTCTTTTTAAAAAGGTTTTGGGCTCAGGGATGAATTTACATTTAACGGAAAACGATTTGTTGAGAGACGTACTGGAACTTGGTGAGAAGGTTTCCCATTTGAGCATGTCTTCAAACAAACAGTCAAAGCTTGCAAGGGTAAATTAAATTCCAGTGTGTTATTTTTCCTATTTTGAAATTATTTTCAATGTTGTTTTTTTCTTTTATAGCATTTAATGAATGCAGCGAATTTCAAAGCGAGAAGTATATCAAGAGCGAAAAATAGAGACAAAAGGTCAGCCGTTATCGCCAATTAAATACCAATTACTTTCCTGATATTTTTTAAGTTTAGCAAATTATTTTAATTTTATGCTCACTGTTAATCCTTGGTAAATGTTTGTGAGGCCAGGAACAATGTTGATCATTGTTGTATTTATGTTTATGTAAAATTATTATTTTTTTCATTTTAATTTTTTTTAAATGAAAAGTTGGAGTTACGTTCAATATGCTTGTATTTTTTTTTCAGTTTTACATTTTATTTTGATTTATCGTAGTACTTAAACTAAAAACTATTTCTCAGTCATTGGTTGTTAATGTACCAAGTTATTTGTTCATATTGGCTGGTTTGTCCCTTTTCCAATCTGATAATAAATAACTTGTGTAATTATGTTTATAACGTGTGTACAAAGAAGATGAAATATAGCATAATATTTATGTGAATCTGTTGTGTATGAATGTGTAAACTGTAAATAAAAGTAATGTGTGGATAAAAATTCGACTTATTTAATTAATAATCAGAACCATTCATATTTATTTCAGCTTTATCGCAAGATCGTCATACTACTAACAAAACAAATTATCCATTGTCATAGATGTGCAGATTTAAAAGTAGGTAAATGAAATGCGATTTTGTTTGTAAACAATATACATTCTCAACTATACTCTTGCTATGACGATTGAATACAAAAAAAGCACATCAATTCTTAAATTTTTTTTGTAATTCACTCATCTACAAATTGGCTTAGTCATGCATAAATGACTCATCTTTTGATTGCATCATAGCCTCTGTTCTGCGACAGAATTGATAAAATGTTAAATATTTATAAATTGTTTATTCTACATTGCGTATATTGTAGATTATAAACTGAGTTGGAATTATACGAACTAAACTAAAAAATCTGATTCGCACGAACAAAAACAAAACAAAATTACTCCTTAAGGCTTGAAGTCTGGAGTGGTGAACTTGGTCATTTCAAAACATTCTGGACTGCTTCAACCAATCAAAATTAATGGAATCAGCAACATAATGTTAATTTTAACCAAAAAGCTGACTTGGTAAGAGTATAGGTGAAGCTTAGCATACATAAAAACAAAACTAATCCCTAAATTATTTTCAGGTTAAAAAATAGTTGTTCAATGTGACATAAATTCATGCGATGATTAAAAGTTAATTAAAACAAATTTAATTTTTAAAAAAAATAAAAGGAAAACTGAATGATTTGTATTTTTACTCTTAAAAATTCATTCCTTGCCTATCTATTAGTGAAGGCAGATCAGGCTAAACTTGTATTGTTAAATAAAGTTTTTTTTAAAATGAATTTTGAAGTGAAGTAAATTTAATTATCATTTTAGTATATTTAATATACATACAAAAGCAGAGTCAGTAACCAGTTTGAGATGCTCAAATGGATACAGATTTTTAAAAAAAGATGCAAGAAACATAAGAAGAAGCAAAAATATGCAAACACTGGTGATGACCTTAGCTGGTGGGTCCTAAACTTTACATATATACATTTAATTTTTTTGAGTTTCTTAATAATTGATAAATGATGAATGCTGATTAATAAATTGTGAATATAATAGGTTATAATAATTGTTAAGTAATCGCAGGAAAATAATTGAGTTTGGTGAAAGTGTTAAATTAAATAAAAAGTGCCTTGGAAGGTATGACAAATTGATGGCACCAACTTTTTTCGTGATGCAAGAAACAATGAAGCCTTATGTAAAATTACTTAAAGTAGGATATACAAGAGCTCAAATTTCATACAAAATTGTTTTGACCAGTGACAGACCCTACTAATAGGGATGGTAATTGTACAATTTATTACTTTTCTACTTGATTTTTCCAATGCATTTGGCTCTGTAAATTATAATTTGCTTATTTGGAAATTGAAGCATTTTTTCAGTTTTTTTCCTACACTTCTAATCTTACCTCCTCCTATTTGTCTGACAGAACTCAGAGAGTTAAAGCTTCAAATTCTCTCACCCCTGTCTTTACTTTCAGCTGGTGCACCTCAAGGCTCTATTCTTGAAACTATATTCTTTTCCATACTGATGATACTCAGCTTTACTTTCAGTGTCCTATAAGTATCATCTCTGAAGCTATTCTCTGCTCAATCATGATCTTCATTCTCTCAATCAAGGCTATTTTTTTACTTTCTTTCATCATTCACTTATCTATCGCTTTCAAATTGTTTACATTCCTTTATTAGATACTGCTATGACCTTAAACCAAAGGATCATATTTCTTCCTATTTTATTGTCTTCAGCAATCTTACTATTCTAGATTTTTGATGTATATATTTAAAATTAAATGAAATAAATTTCCTCAAGACCTATCAACTTTCTTTTCTACAGTTCTTATCCAAACCCACCAATCATATCCAAAGCCTTCAACGTTCCTAGCCTTTCTGTGTAGATGTGTCATTGTTGTGTGTCGTGTTGATATTGTGACACCCACATCATACCAGACCGCATCTCATGATCTCTAAGTAATATTTAAAAGGATCATATAAATAATAAATAATGTGCTAACCTGGTGCTCTAATAACAAACTTGCTCTTAATATTTCCAAATACTACACAATTACATTCTCTCATAAGAAACAATCTTTTATTTATCTCTATACTCTCCATGATGCTCTTTTANCATATATCATTTATATTTTTTGTTATTGTAAAATGTCTTTTTTTATAGTGGATTTCGATCTGTAAATAAATAAATAAATATTAGAATTTCATAAAAATATGCTGATTAAGAAAGTAATATTAAGAGTATTTTGTTCATAATTAGTTGTATTATATTCAGTAAAAATTTTAACTGGAAATATTATAAATTTAAATATGGAAATATATGCATATACATACATTTTGAGATTTAAGGACTAAAATGAATGGAAAAAAATATAATTTGAAAATAAAAAGACACTTTTTACTATAGGTGTAAGTTAATAATATTAAAGTACAAATTAAGGCAATAATAAAAATTAAGTTTAAGTTTGGAAATGGGAAATTTTAAGGTAGAAAAAAAAAAATTAAAACGGGCCACCAATTTGTGACACCCACTCCCTTTTGGTGACGCTAGATGTAACCAAGTCCCGTCAGTAACAGCGATATCCACTCCAGACAGTTGCGTCACTCCAGATCTGGATCAGTCTTTCTTGGATGGATGTTTTCTGGCCCAAGATAGGTCGAACTGGCTGCTTTCCTGCTCTCATGACCATCTCGGACGAGCTCTATTGAGTTAGCAGTCATCACCAATACAGAATAATGTCGGATTTCGACGAGAACCCCTTCGGCCCGCCGACAGTAGATGATCCATTTGCGGTGAGTACAATCTAATTTCAGCCTTGTTCGAACTTTTACTTTCAATAAAATTATCTCATGTGTGAAATGTTAAAAAAAAAAAAAAAATGCTCTTTCATACTTGTCTGTGTATTGCAAATTATTAGAAGTAAAAAAAACTCACTATGTAAACTATAATACTCAGTTTATATACTGATTTAAGCTACCATTCTCAAAAATCAAAAAATTACTTATCTTGAAAAAATTAATTTTCTGATGTTTTATGCCCTAGTTTATATTATATTCTCTGCTTTACTTAGAATTTTATCTTGCTAACACAGGTTTGGGTGGAGCCCAATAACAAATATTTTCTTCTCATGTCGGGTAAAAATTTTCCTAAATGAGATAACTGCATATTCTAGTTTTAGACCTGACTATATAATTATAAGTCGATGGTAGCGCTTTGCCCATAGGGAGGCGTCATAGAGTGGCCTCCGCATGCCTGCGGTTCAGCCAAGATGTCCGAACAACTAACAACACGGTATTGCACGCCTTTCATTAACACAACCGTTGTTTGCACTTCTTTTTAAATGCGTTTTGCCATTTTAGACAACTCAAAACATTCAGATAATTCTACTTGTACCGAAGGTACAAACTTGAATATCACAATCCTGAAAAGTTGTGTTTCGTTACTTATCCAGTTTTAGCTCGACATTGCAGAATTAATCTAATGGAATAGAAGCCAAAAAAAGTAAACCTCGAAATATGTCTGTTAGTTGGCCACTGATGAAGAAGAAACAGGCTGCAGCCTTCGGCTCCCATGGAGATTTTTTTAGTGCACAGGAACATTATAACTCATACGAGACGTGTATTCTTTTTTTGGGGAAAAGGTTAGGTGAAAAAAAAGGGCCAGGGGCAACGGTGGGAATCGAACCCATGACCGTGGGTTCTAGAGCTGAGAGTCTATCATGCTAACCATTTGGCTACCGAAATCCTTATAGCGATTTTTTCCTTTTAAACCACCAAAAAAATTGATTTCTTATCCAAACGTAAATCATAAATATCTTATTACATTCCTCCAAAATCATGCTGGATTACTTCAAATGATATACACATTGGCGTAGAATGTGTAATTTGGATTTCTTTGCATCACAGAATTTTAATATTCTTTCAAAGAAAAGTTCCCAATTTATTTGTTGAATTATTGTAAAATTATTTTATATTATCTTGAAGAATTCCTTTTGAAAATCTGCAAAGTGATGAACTTGTAATTTGGTCGTTTTTGATCACCCTAGGCTGCCTCTCGTTACTGGTTTGATTTGTCAAATGGTATTCTGCATTTTGCCATCACCAGTAGTGGGTCTGGCAGACCAAACAAGGTAGTGATTGGAAATTACCAAGCTTCAGGTTAACCCTCTCAGCATATTTTCAAAAGGAATTTTCCAAAAAATATACTTGATCATTCTGCTTTGCTTATTTTGCTTATTACCTTGTCTTTATACAAAATTAACCAAAGTACAGTACACAAGAGCCCTATTTCTATGAAAATAGTAAATAGTTTTGTCTAGTGACAGATTCCATTGATAAAATATAACATTAGAACTTTTATTGAATGAGATTATAATAATGTTCTATGTATAAATATAAATAGAACATTTTTTTTGGCTTAGTATTCATTAGTATTCAATAATCAATAAATGGTAAAAATATGAATGTTAATCAATTCACTATTTCTATTCAATGTATACAAGCAAAAGTCTTATTTTGTACTTTATAAAATGAAATATAAACTAAATTGTAAATAGTAAACTTCAAATTATCGCTATTTGTTGGTAACTGAGAGTTATAAAGAAACAGGCTGCAGCCTTTGGCCCCCAATGAACAGTTTTTTCTTTATGTGTAAAATGTTGCAAAATATCTATAAAATAAATATTTAATTACTTAAATAGCATGTACATTTGTATACGACAGTATTTACACAATGATATGAAACATAAGGAGGTGGATTCTCCCCAAGAAAATTATAATCCTCCATATTTATTTCTTGTCTTGTTGAGATATGTTAGAATTAGGTAATTCCTGACAATGGATCAGATGGACAAAATCAGCAATGATAGGCAAACCAGGATGATAAAGTACATTATTTTGCATGATTCCTTTTGAAAATCTAACGGGTGATAAACCTGTAGTTGAATCTTTCGTCCTGTTTGGTCTATCCTCGCTGTTTTGATTTGTAAAATGGTTTTTGACATTCTGCCATCATCAGTTGGGATCAGACCAAAGCAGCTAGATTAGGCAGACCACAGTGAAAGGAAATGGCCAAACTAATGTTCAGTTTGCATGCAACATTAAAGAACTAAAACTAACTGAAACGCAATTATACGTCAGCCTGACTAACATTGAATTGTATTTAAAAATGTATGTTTTTATATTTTTGATTACATTTTTCCCAAGAATGCCTGTTTTAAGGTCATGAACTTGATGTAAATTTTGCTATTTGTTGTACTGTTGTCCTTAACTGTCCTCAACTTGTTTTATGATTGCTTGGGAACAAACTGGCCATGGCAAAAGCCGCTTATTTAAGTCAAAATGATTTTTTTTTACAAATTTTGCTGTTTGTCTTTGAAAAATAAAACTTACTGTAACCACGCTTCTTTTTCCATTATCTGGTCATCTATAAATGTTGTTTCATCACTGGCTATTATTTTTCTACACCTTTTGTTAGAGAAATCCCGTGCAAATGTTCTTGTTGACTTTTTCATAATTATTTCATGACCTATGTTCAGTCTCAATGTATTTCATTACACTCATTTCTTGCCCAGTACATTTTCTTTCTCTTATCCATTAAAATTATTAAAGAACATAAAAATTTTGTGCAAAAGACCATGAATACAGTTTCGTTGCGCCTGAATAAGCCATAAAACTAAAATACAGGATTAAAACTTTAGGTGGTTTCTATTTTTTGTTTGCTTTTGAATAATAAAACCAAAATTTAGTGTGATTTATTTTCAAAAATTCAGTCGTTCGTAATTTGGAGTAATGGCCCGACCCTTATATAAGTCTAATAATTGTGATTAACATTTTCTGATAATTGTATCATATAAAAGATAACTTTTATTTAAGTACTATAATATTGAAACAACCAATCTTATTTGTGGCACAAACTATGAAGACGGTCAAGGAATGATAATGGGATAAGTTGTTAAAATTTTAAGTTTTAAGTAACTCTTGCAGGAGAGGGGAACAATAAATATGAAGTATTCAATTTTAAGTTTTATTGTAATATTTGTGATGTGGTCATGCCGAACCTGACCTTTGAAATACTAACCAGCAAGAATAGAATGATCAATATATGCATTTTAATAAACTCATAAAGTGCTGGGACTCATTAACTAATGATTTCATTAAAAATGCGAATTAACGATTGGTATTTTCCTTTCAAATTTCACTCATTCGATAAATATTTACAGGATCCATCTGTCCAGCAGGTGACAAATCATTCGAGTAATGTTCAACGTGGTCTTGAAGAGTTTAATCCCTTCGCTGACCAACCTTCACAAGTTACGACTAATGTACGTTGGATTAAATGCACAATATATTTTTTTTTAAATTGTAGTTTATAGTTATGTGTAGTTAGCCTGCTGTTTTTGTTGGTTCCTAGTGGGTCAGTATTATTATTTCATTTGTGAAGTTGTAAAGTTTTGTGTGTTCACAATGGAATAGACTGAAAATTTAACTTCCACCTGATTTGAATATCTTATCATTTTCCTTATCTTAGTGAACATGTAAGAGAAAAGCAGAAACAATGTTAGTATTGTATCCATTCCTTGACAGAAATATCTCTTTTGGCTAATGTTTTAAATATTAAAACCTTAATCAACTATAGTTAAGGTTTTAACTATAGTTATAACTAAAGTTCACATCAGTTTTGGAATGATATTTAATAATTCATCTGGATGTCAAAGCCCAGTGTAGCAATAATAAATAAAATAAACAAATAAAGGTTTTCTATAAATGCTGGAATTTAAATTTTTGGAAAGGATCTGTTTAGAAATTAATAAAAGCATGTTACAAGAATTATTATATTTTGTTCTTATGCAAAACAATCAATTACTGTTTGTCCGCTTAAAAAATAGGCTAATATAAATTTCATCTATTAACAAAATACTATTATTAATGTATAATACAATTGCAACAAAAAATTTGCATGCAAACAATTTTATAAATTATACTGGGGGACTGGAAAGTTATGTCGTTTCTTACCATGTCATTATTCATTTGTCATTTAATAGTTATTGTGTACTTCAAAGTTGCGCAAAGACATTTTAAAGTTAGAAAGTTATTTATCTCAATTTTTTTTTTCAATTTATGGTGATACAGCCAGCCAAATACCCGAAGAGATATATAGTAATTACATATCGCTGTATGTTTTTTGAGTTTCACTAGGGTTGCTACCAAAAACATTCGCGATCTTTATCCAACTGCTTTAGATGTTGGTAAATGCCAAAGGTAGTTTTTAAGTTCAAACCTGGAAATTTTGATCTTTTTGACTCGTATTTATCAGGAAGACCAACAACTTTAGAAAATGACACGTTAAGGGCAGAAGTGGAAGGAAATCCGTGTCAGCAATTGAGGAACTGTCAAACACTCTTAATCCACCTTGATCGACCATCCGAGAACATTTACAGGAAATTGGTAAAGTAAGCAGAGCAGGTGTTTGAGTCTTGTTTAATCTGAAGAAAATACCACATTGCAACTTATTGCTTCAGTGTTACAATACAGAAGTGTTTTTTGATCACTTGATTACTTGAGATGAAAAATGGGTTCTCTATGATAATCTAAAATGCAAAAGGCAGTGGCTCTTTATGAATGAAATCGCCACGCGTACAGCTAAGCCAGGTTTCATCCAAAAAGGCGCTTTTGTGTGTTTGGTGGAATATTCGCAGAGTCTTTCATTTTGAAGTGGTGAAACCAGGACAAACCGTGAACCTTTACTGTGAACAATTAAATTGAGTAAATTGATTGTTATTGAAAAGTGCCCAGCGATTGTTAACAGAAAAGGCATTATTCTACAACAAGATAATGCAAGACCACACTGGATAAGACGAACTCTGGAAAAATTAATGAATTACGGTAGGAGGTATTTCCTCACCCTCCATACTCTCCTGATATTGCACCGTCTGATTTCCATTTATTCCTTCACTACAACATTTTCTAAGTGGAAAAAAATTTGAAAATTTGGATGATGTCCAAAATGCCATCTCTAGATATTTTGCTCAAAATTTATTTTTATCGATCTGACATTGAAAAAAGGTAGGTGATAACGAGGGTGATTACATCATTGATTAAAAATAAAAACTGGTTAAAAAATTTATGACAAGCCATTTCATAAAGGCCGCCAAAGCGACATAAACAATCAATAAGACAGAGTTCCAACGATTGAGGAGGCAGACGAGAGGACGGCGGCAGGCCTAAGGCAGAGCAGCCACGCTGGATTTGGAGTTACTCAGTCGCTTGCAACTTTAGAAAGAAGATAAAAAATAAAAATAAAAATGTGTGACGTTATCAACACAAAATACTGCTAGTGAAGAATTCTTGTGGAGTGGTGTTCATTCATAAAGGTTCATTACACCATACTATACAACTTGTCCAGTAAAAAGGAAACCAAAAAAATAACTTTACACTTAATTACTTTCTATCATAAGAAAATATTCCCTTTTCCTTACTAAATTAGTTGTAACCATTTATAAGATATATTTGATTCATTAATTTGTTATTAATATAAGAACCTTTCATGTTTAATTGGTACAGACTTATTATTTTATTTTTTTATAACCGAATTAATCCCACAACATTATAAATGCTGGTAATCTGTTTGAATTCAATTATAAAAGACATTACTTTCCTGTCTCCCCAATATTTTGTATATGCATTTTTAAAATAACACCTTCCTATCTGAGTTATAGCTAGAATTGTGTTTTTATACTTTAAACACTTTTACTGCATTTACAGGTCAGGGGTGCTTCAAACCCGCCGGACTATGCACGGCAGTCCCAACCTGCTGTTATGCCCACGACTCACCAAGAGCCTCAGTCAAACTTTAACAGGAACCAAGCGCAGACAATGTCACACGCAGAATTCCAGGTAGAGTACTTCACTCTCATAGATTTTATATATATAAAAAAAAAATCAGCTGTTTAACTGAATTTTGATTGTTGAATCCCATATCTCGTACATCAATGTGAATTAAAATTATCAAATTTTATAACCGTTAATTGTTGTAAAAGCAATTAACACCCAGGTTAGTAATTTACGTTTTAACAAGATAATTTTAATTTGTTTTATCTCTTTGGGTAATTCTGTGTAAGAACCTTGTTTTATTAAGTTGTAATAAAAAGCTGTTTATTTCAATTTGTAAAATTGAATTAGAAGTCTACTTTTAGCCCACATAAACATGGATTATTTTAAATAGAAATTATATGGTTATCTTAACTCAGGAAATTCTGTAACTCTTTAAGAGATAAGAAAAAAAATAAGCTACAAAAATTAAATTGAGGAGGAAAACTGCAAACAATTTGATACTGGGGCATATTCACTTTATGGGAGGGGGGACTGAGAAGAGATAAAAATTTTAGGATTAGGCTGGTCTCACACTGGAACCGACTATGACAGACAACTTATTCTTCTGATGTGAGCTCTAACATTGGAACAGGCTTGTCAGAGTTGTTTGTCCATTGGTTGTTTCGTTTTGGTTTTCAGGCATTTGGAATGATTTTTTTATTTTTAGGTTTCTTTAGATATTTTAAAAGTAATTTCTTGGATTAAAAGAATTACCTGCTTTTTTGTGTGCATTACTATTAAGAAAAAATGCTAACAACATCACAGCCAAAAAATGTAAATAAGGAATAGCATTCTTTAAGAGCAGAGATCTGTGAAAAGTGCAAATTCGCTTGAAAAAAAAAAAAAAAAAAAATGCATGCCCTCATCTATTGTGGTGTCTTGTTCATATTCTTGCAGAAAGTGGACGGATACAAAATAATTTTTTTTTACTGCAAACTGGTTTGAACATTTTTTTATGTGCACTTTTTCAAGAATAAATATGTAAGAAATATAAATAATTTATATTGGGTTCTATAAGTTTTGTAAAAAGATTATGTAAGCTTCAATACAACTTCAAAATAGCTTTCAAAAATTATAAAACTATTCAAGCACTTTTTTCCAAAATTAAAGATCCCACACCAATAATAAATAAATCTGACGTAATCTACAAGATCAACTGTTTAAACTGTCCGGCAACTTACATCGGTCTTACATCCCAATATCTGGACAAGAGAGTAAAGCAACATATCTATGAGTGCAAAAAACCTAAGCAAAATCCTACAGCCCTCACTACCCACCATTTTGAACACCAACACAATTTCGACTTCAAAAATCCAAAAGTATTACACACAGAACAAAACAAACATAAACGTAATTTCTTAGAAATGGTTTATATCAACAGAGATAAACACAGCATCAATTACAGAACAGATACATGTAAACTCAGTCGCAGCTACGCCAATATCATTAATCAAATTCAATACAGATAACATACCTATATCATCACATTACATTCCACACATCAAATATTTTTCACATAGTCTAATTTCCCAACAATTTAGCTTTCCTTTTCCTATTTATCCCTTTCTATATAATCCTGAAAGGATAATCTGGCCGAACCATTACCAACACATTTTTTCCCTTCGTCGGCTCTTTTCACCTCAAAGAAGCCGACGCCTTATACAAAAATGTCTTTTCTATACCGACATCCTTCCCCACCCCTTCAAAATCCAACGTATATAAACACAAAATAGCAAAATCTCACTGGCACTCTCGACACGACACGCAAGAATGGCACAATTACACAGAAGACAAACACTTTGAGTGAGTAGAAATACTTTTTTTTTATTGGCCTTATGCTCTTGCATATTAGCCATAGTACGAATTCTTGTGTGTTCAAATTGGGGGTTATCGGGAAAAAAGGGCCAGAGGCGACGGTGGGAATCGAACCCACGACCGCGGCATGAGAGTCTCTCATGCTAACCACTCGGCTACCGCGTTCACTTTTTTACATCCAAAATGTAATTGTTAAATGTAAACAATGTTTGTAAATCCCAGGCCCTGAAGATGATCTCAATAAAGATCGAAACGTTGGCACGTTAAAGAAAATGTTTTTCTGAAACCTACATCACACCAGACAGCATCTCACAATTTCTAAATAAACTTCAATACAACAAAAAATCAATCTTGGAAGTGAGGCCTTAGGTAGTCTGTCGAATGCAAAGAATCCCTGCTTCCTGGGATCAGATGCTAAATCTTATTGCCAAAAAAAAGCCAAAAAAGTCCAACCAGAACGGACATATATGCATGATTAGGTCGGTTCCAGTGTAAGAGAGGGGTGATTACATTCCCTAGGTTGGTAATATTTCTGTGACATTCAAAAATCATATGTAGTCAGTTCCAGTGTGATAGCAACCTTAGGGTAAAGGAATAGAGAAAGGTACCTGAGAGTACTTACAAGGCCATCTAGGTGCAAAGAGAAGGAATAATGAATTTTAATAAATCAATGGGAAAAAGTTATGTAATATTGCATCGTGGCTGCATATCATTCACCTTTTAGCTGTAACGGCTTACATTTTTAGGAATAACTGCAGGTACTTTTTGTAAAGGAGCTGCTTCTTACTGACAAGTTTTTGGGTACAATTATCCAGATTTCAAGCATTAAACACTTTGTGTTACAAACATGTACAACCTGTAAGAACCAACCTTTACAAAAATTGAATTGACATACTCTACCTTTATTATTTTTTAATAAATTTATCAAGTATTTTGTACGCCATAGTCTTTTATTAATGTTTTACTTACACTGGGGAAAATTTAATTTAAATAGCTCATATAGTTTTTATTTCTGACTCTTATACCTTATAAATAAGTATCAATTTAGAATGATTCTTCTTTTTTCTGAGCAATTTTTGACCTAATAATAATGAGAAGAACAATATGAAGAAAATGGATACAGATGTAGCATTTATTTAAGTTTGCAACCTCATAGACCAAAAAGCAAAATATCTTTTCAAATTTTTTTTATTTGCATTAACTATAGAACAATTATTGTTTTACATGCTAACCTTAGGATGCTCTCAATGTAAGTGCACAGTTTAAGAGAATTTAAGAGAATCCCTTTAGATTTTTTCTCTCCTACACTGCCTAAATTCATAATTGTATTTTTTCCTTTTATATTTATAACTTTATGTGTTCTTCATGTATAGAGACGTCAAGAAGAACTTGAGAGGAAAGCTGAAAAGCTTCAGAGAAGAGAGGATGAACTAAGAAATATGACATACAATGGTACTTTATGTGAAAATACCAGTAAATAGTTTTAATATTAAAAAAAATATATATATTTAATTGATTTATTTTTCTTATCAGTCCGTCTCAATAACTGGCCACCCCTGCCTAAGAATTCATGTGGACTGGAGCCTTGCTTTTACCAAGATATCAATGTGGAAATCAATGTCAATTTCCAATCCGTTGTTAGACAACTTTACCATTTGTGGATATGTTGGTGTTTTTTTTACACTAATAAGTTTTGGTTAATGTAAAAGCATTGAAACATTTCTTGTTTTAGTTCATTCACTTCTGATGGTTGCCAATGTAATAGGGACGCTTGTCCTTTTGATCACATATGAAATGTTTGGATTTTTTGCACTGTCAATTATTTACGCTCTAATATTAACACCATTTTCATTCCTGTGTTGGTATAGACCAGGTTACAAAGCTTTCAGGTAATTATTATTATCTTGAATATAAATTTATGAGTTAATAAAAAAGTGTTTTATTTATTTGTTTTATAATTATAGGGATGACAGCTCATTTAACTTCATGGTTTACTTTTTTATATTTTTTTTCCAATTTATTATTACTGTATTTCAAGCGATTGGACTTCCTTCTGGAGGTTTTTGGTAAGCTATTATATATCTTTTGTCTGTCAGCAATCATTTTAATGAATCTTTATTTTTAGTGGCATTATTATCGCTATTAAGGTATTTGACAGATCACCTACAGGAATAATTGTTGGACTTTTGATCACATCGATTGCTTTGGGATTTTGTGCTGCTGCCATTATGGACATTTTGCTAATTTCTAAGGTAATATATTTTTATTACTCTTTAAATGCTCAGAAATACATAATTATACCTTAAAATTTCTAAATTTATTTTAAAGTTTTACAAGTTAGTTTAAAATGATTCTGATTTTTTTTCCCTTCAGATTCACAGGATTTATAGAAGTTCGGGCGCCAGTATGGCTAAAGCCCAAGCAGAGTTCACAACTGAGTTTTTGAAGAACGAGCACGTCAGGGGGGCTGCATCCTCTGCTGCGACTGCAGTCGTTCAGTCACAGTTCCAACAAGACAGGAACGCACCTCCTAGGTACTAGGTACATTATCGTCTTTTCTCTTGGCCTGTTACGTTTGCTAACATTTTCCATTTCTTTTAAACCTGCTTGTTGCATGATTTCTTGTTTTCTTCTATTGTACTTCATAATTGTTTTATAGCTAATCCAAATTTTTTTCCCGTTTGTTTTTTAGGAACTGAGAAGTCGTACTTTGTTTTAAGCCTGCAAAGAAAGTCATGGTGAAATATGACTTATTTTCATTTAAAAGTTGCCTCATTCATGAAGATATATTTATTGCACTCTTGTGTATTTTACATATTGTATATAGAAGAAATTGGAAATATAAAATAATATGATTGCAAACTGGCTTTTCATTCCAATATTGTAGAAATTAATTTTTGTGTAGGTAAAAAAAAATATATCAAAATTTCAAACATTATTTATGTGTAAGGTATTGTTTTTATAAATAAAGGCTGAATATAAAAAATAGGCTGTTTTTTATGTTTTATATGAAAATAATTATTATTGTTTATGATAGCCATATTTAAAAAAAAATTATTATTTTTCCAAATTTTTTGTTGCTTAAAGTATTTAATTACCCTTATTAGTCAATAAGTTAAAACAGTTTTTATTAGAGTTAAATATATTACATTTAAAGATACATAAATTAATATATAACTGATTGTAATATATTGGTAGAAATATGTTCTAGTTTCAACACTTTTTTCTCTTCAGTTTGCTAACTGAAAAACTAATAATAATGAAGTTGGTCTTTTAGTTTAAAACTAATTTATAATATATCTTGGGTATGTTTTTTGCCACTGTTAGTCCTGTTAACACCAAATTGACAAATGATATCGCATGAATGTTGTTGATGTAAATGTCTATACAAATAAAGACTTAATAAAGAAGATGGGTGTTTTTATATGTTTATTGAAGAAAATGATATTTTACTATATAAGGCATTTCCTGAAAAAGAAATAGATTAATTCTTTGGCAGTTTAATGAGACTAAAATGTTTAAAATTAGTACTTGTTTCAGAAATCGTGAGATGCGGTCTGGAGTGAGTAGGTTTCAGAAAAACATTTTTTTTTTATCGAGCCAATGTTTCGATCTTTATTGAGATCATGTTCAGGGCTCAAAATGTTTGTCTTCTGTGTAATTGTGCCATTCTTGTGTGTCGTGTTGAGAGTGTATTAGTACTTGTGTGAGGTATAACAAAATTTAACTGGGTACACTAGGTTTATAATTTTATGTAGTTTTAAAAATCTGAATTTAACTTAATGCTTTCAGTTGCAAACACATTGACCAGGAGGAGTGTCATTTTGACGTAATTTTAATAAAATGAAAAAAAAAAGTTCATGCAGAAAATCCACAGGAGTATAATTTTGCTAACTACTGTTACAAAAACAATGGAGTTCAATCTCAGTAAGAATTTGAAATTGGATAGCTACTATCTAATACAATTTTAGAAGATCAAATAATTCACAATTGAAAAAACTAAATTTGGATTTAGTCATCAAGGAAATGTAAAATGGGAGCTTTTGGACAAAGAAAAGTTGCTTGGTATAATAATAACTAACTGCTGTTGTACTGTAAAAAAGAAAGAAAAAAAATGCAGAATAGTTCTGAACAAATTAAAAAAGTTTAAAAGATAATGAAATTTCTTCGTGTTGGCTATGTGGATTGATGAACCTGTAATTTGGCCGTTAGTGATCATCTTGAACTGCCTGTTCTCACGGTTTTGATTTGTTTGGTGGTTACCACTAAATAGTTTGATCAAAACATCATCAGTAGTGGATCTGACATACCAAACAAGCTAAAATATATATTTACAATTAATTAATTACCTGAAAGAGCTCTGGAGGAAATGCTTGGGTGCAGGGGGTTTGCCCATTTTTACATAAATTATAAATTTGTTCCTGCTGTTAAAAAAAATTAAGAATTAGCTACTGTTGACATTCCTTCTGTGAGGCTTGGAATTTGAAAAGGCTTTTGAGTACAGTATTATATCAATAAAGCAATAACTATGTAGCATTAACTAATAAATAAATCATCATATTCAATCATACATTTATATAATAAATAAAAAATGCTTAAAATTGCAAAGCACAAAATGTAGACTAATAATATAAATTTATTTTATGCAGTATTTTACAGTAACATAAAAAATATTGAAGGAATAAGAGAGATGATTTTAAGCTTAGTTAATTGCAGAATTTATAATTTTTTGTTTGTTTAATGATCGCTGCTATCTGGCTCTCTAAAAATTCAATAAAATATTTATCTAAAAAAAGTATCAGTGGGAGAGATCATCCGTATCAAGACGAGTGGCCATTGGAGGATCTAAATTGTAGAAGTGGGATCATCCTCACCTGATTAAGAATAGGGCATGTGAGGCTGACGGACACTTACTTTTGGTCCAAGGCCTGTGTTTGTGACCAGCATATTGAGAAACGTTGCTCAATGGGTCCCACTTAATGAAATGGCTCCATGTAGAGAGTGTGTAGGAATGCCACCCGACATGAGAATTGTGCTTGAGCATTACAGGGACTATTTGGATCCATGATTTTTGAAGGAACTGGGTTGTTTTATTGAATTAATGTAGTAATTAATGTAGTATCTTGTGTTTATTGATATAGAATGTATTTATTAGCATGAACGTATTGTTCAAGAGGGCTGATGGTGGAATATTGAGAACCTCATAGATTCTCAATTAGATTTATTAGAGCTAAATAGGTGATGTACAAATACTGGGTACCCAATACCCTTCATGTAAGTGAATGGCATTTAAATAGAAAATAATGTATTTAAGAATAAATGAAAACGGGGCTAAAATGACCTTGCTATGGACATCATCAGACTTGGCCAGTGGAATGCATAAGACAATGTGGCCCCAGACTGCTAAAACCTGAAGCAGGTGTGCAGCTGTGTGAAGTCACAAGCTCCATTGTGTATACAGAATGAAGCTTATATACATCAATAATCAATTTTATACATTAATAAAATTTTTGTTAGAATATGGTTAATTGAAATCCTTTAAATCAGATGGAATAAATGTCAAATTCTCGACAAAATTGATAGATTTTACTTATTAATTTTTAAACAAGTTTTTGTTTAAAAATATATAAATCAAAACAAAAAAAACAAATATGTATTTTCTCTCAGCAGAGATACTTAATTAAGCATATGTTTGATCAATTTATCTCAAAAACCGTTTCCGTAGTTACTTGGGAGCTTTTGAATTAGAGGCAGAAAATCAGATAAACTGGATTAAATTTCTGTTCTGTCCAAAGAAATTGTAGTATGGTAAGAATTAACATTTATAATTTTTAGAAAGTTGAAATAGGTTCATAAATAATTTATTTGGGCTAGTCTGCAATCGAAAGTTCAAGCACCTAGTGTATCCAACGTTATAATTTTGATGAGGAACTTTTTTTTTTAAAGCTAAATTAAATTTTACTCCTTGCAGATACTTTAAAAAGCAAACGTTCAATTTTACAAATCATTTGTTGACAAATGTTTAATTTTAACATGTGGGAAAATTTCTTCATTTAAATATGTGCATAATTTTTTGACTATGGCTTTGCAAAATAAATACTTGATAATCAAATTGTTTTGATAATAAATAACTTTGAATTGATGATTTTAATTAAATATGATTAATTATTTTTCTATGAGGAAACTCAGTTTTGGTGTATGATATCTGCAAAGCATATATAAATCCATTTTATGTTAAAGCACTTATTATAACAAAATATTTACAAATTTTAGATGAAATAATTTTAAAGTTCTGTGTTACAATAGACAACAAAAGAATTTACATTATTCTACAAGAATGTTAGCCTTTTTAATATTATATGTTGATATTTATAATATATAAATGAGGGTATATTGTAATTAGGATGATTTTACTGTTAGTTCATTTTAATTGTGTGATATTACAAGTAAACAATTACTGTAAATTTCACTATTTCGTCAGCATTCTATAGTGACTTTAGAAAAACCAACGCCCAGAGTACCTTTGCCAGACTGGCATGGGAAAGTATGGGAACTTCGACAGACGTGTGATACGAGACGGAATGATGCTTTCAATCTTAGAAATGAAGCGAGGCAGCTTAGAAATGAGACGGATGCGACAACGTACTGGTCGACTTACCACAATGACAGCAGGCTTGCCGAGAGGTTTGTCTGTTTTATCCCCATTCTGTTCTAAATAATAAAACGCCGTTTGTCTACCAGAATTTTGGAAATTACAAAATGGCGTAACACCATGGAGGACCTGATCGCTTCGATTAACAGAGAGCTATTGAGTTTAAAAAATGAGAAAGCACTTACTGAAAAGGAAATCGAGTTTTTAGGATTGGGTTTTACTGTTGTAAACGAATGCTTGACTCAAAGAGATCAAAGAGGAGGAGCTGATTTGTGCACAGATGAAGCTGAACTGGAGATTAAAAAAGTAAAGATTGAAATCTTTATTATATATTTCTTCCCTTATTACATTATTTTGTAGGAACTGAGGCTCCTGGAAGCCCAAAAATTGATGATGTCACAAAAATGTATGGATTGTTGGGAACAAGTCAATCGGATGGAGGAAGTCAAAAGTAAAATCATCACAGATATATTAGAAAAAGAAGACACTCTGACTATAGATCATAGCGCACTTGGGATTGATAAAAGCGGTGCAAATATTTCATACAAGAGTGACCCAACAAGGATCCCAGATGAGTAAGTACTATTTTTTATAGCATATTACAAATCATAATTTTCTTCTTCGTTCTAGCATGGTTTCGTACAAATGCTGGCTGGAGCATTGTTTCTACTTGAAAATGTTAGCCGATAATGAGCTCATTTCGTCTCAGAATCTGAGAGAGAGTATGTACGTCCCAAGGGAAAGATCGAGGAATGATTTGAAAGCTCAAAACGATTCGACAAATTTTTCAATTAGAAAGAGGATATTTGAGACTCAACGCATTAAAAATGAACTCGACTGGCAAAGATTAAATGTAAGTTTGAAAACTTTTTTGAACTGTACTTTTTTAAAGAAATAAGAATTTTTGTATTGCCATGTACACTATTCTTTGTTCGGCATCAAAAAGTGAGCCCCTCTCATGATATTTAAATTTCATTTTAAAATTCCGACCTAATTTTTTGGTAATGTCTGCTATGCAATTAACTTGCACCTTAACTGTCTGATATTAAACTGCCTAATTTTGCAGTTTTTTAAAATCAGAAATATATAATTTAAAAAATATATATATGTACTATCAAAAATAGGCAAAATAGACTAGGTTGATTGGGTTTTGTAATGCTTGGAAAAAATAGCTGTTTTTATACTTATATTTGATGTTGATACATGTTTTATTCATACTTATTTTTCCGTATACTTTGAAGATGGTAAAGGATATGGAGAAGTTACATAAAGAGGTTGTATTGCTGGAAGATGCATTGGCAAATAAGGCTAATGCATTGAAGTTGGCTGAGACTAGACTTGAGAGAAGGCTGTTCAGGCCAAGCCAAGAGTGTTGCCGAGATGATGCAGCCATAGGACTTGAAAATGAAGTCCACACATTAAAAGAAACCAATGCTGCACTTGAAGCCATGCTAAACCAGGCAAAGTGAGTGTCAATGTTTCATATCTAGATTTTATTTATTACAACTTTCATAATTAAAGGGCTACATTCAATGCATTGGAAGACCAGTTGGTCATCATCGACCGAGAGCTACACAACAAGAATCATGCCTTACAGACCGATCTGAGGTGTCTTGATCTCAGAAATCGCCTGGTGACAGGAGACAGGGCTCCGCCCAATACCCAGACAGATAGAAATATAATTCTGACGCGAATGCAGGATGAAATACCATTGGAAACCAACTAAATAAATGTTTTGACTACTATCATTATAACTATAATAGATAAATTCATTGGCTGAATTTGATGTTTTTTTTACTATGTAATTTAATTAATTCTTCATTTACAATGATTTTTACTTTTATTGTATGTATGGAAAAATCTCCTTTTCCCAACCAAACATTTAACTTTTCAATTACAAGTCTGTTATTTTACAAGTAATTTATAATACATATTATTAACATGATGATGACGATGATGATAATAAGAAGATTAGGAAGTGGGATTTTTGATATTCCTCAAGCACTGCAGCCTTTTGATTTATTGTTCTTTTGTTTCTAGTTCCTTAGTTCTCTATCCTTTTAAGAAGTAGTAGGTCATTGACTGTCATTGCTGAAGTTTTTTTTTCATGGACTTTTGGTACCCTAGGTTTTTTCTCCGTTGAGCAGTTGCTTCGCATTCGAAGTTGATACGGGTGGCATTTTCTTCCTCATTATAAGGACCTATAAATGGGGTCATAATTGTATACACCTATATGTAGGTGTTTTCTTAGATGCAGGTGATCGGTATATTGCCCTATCGCTTCCCCGAGTTTTCCCCGTTTACCTGTAGCAATATTTGTCAGCTTTGGCGAGGGTAATTTTATCATTGTTTACTATCAGGCACCTCTGGAGTTCATCCACTTTCCCTTTTATTTTTTGTGAAACATTCTGAGATGGAGTTTGATCCAAATTGTAGGTTCTGGGCATATTTATGTAGCTTTGCAGATCCTCTTCTGACCAGTTGGTCTACTTGTTCTTATCTAGACATTTTTTGTATATCCTAACGCCTGAATTCTGTGAGTAGAACAATCCTTTACAAAAAGTGAATCGACATACCCCACTTTAATTATTTATAATAACTGTATTTGATATTTCTTTTTTAATTTTATTTTAAGAACCTTCTCATTAGCCAAAGGCAGGATTTTGATTTAGGAGTATAGCTCAGTTTTGTGTATGCAATCGCATATTCTTTTTGACTTCGTGGTGATTTTATCCAGATCATACCCCGAAATACAATGGTTCAAATTTTATTGTGCAAATTTGAAGAATAGTGCATAAATTTGCTTATTTGAAGAATAATACAAAATTAAAACATTTTTGGTTACTGAAAAACAAAAATAAATTGACAACTAAGAATGAGAGGAAAATAATTTGATTTGAATTTCTGTTAACTTGCCAGCAATGTAAACAATTTGGCCCAATATAATTCTCTTGAAATAATGTTTTAGGGCCTTATTTCCAAAATTTCTAGGTGAATTTTTTCCTTTTTCTAAATTTTTTCTGAAGTAGGCAGGTTGTGAAAAAGGTCCACACCAAAATAGTCAGGTCTCAGCCATTTTTCATATTTTCAGCCCAGTAAACGTTAAAAAAATGAGAACTTTTAAAATAGGAGAGGTTGGATATTTTTTTTCATTGCAAAACAAATTAGTAAAATTCCTGGTGATGTAGGAATTATTTTATAATAAAAATTTAAAAAAAAATCCTTAATAAAAATACGAGATTTACTGAATTGGGTCAAATTAATGAAATCTTAAATGGAAACAATAAAGCTGTTATACAGTTCATTATTATTTTCCAATTATTTTAATTGGAAAAAATAAATCTTACAAGTCCACAAGTGCTCCCATCACCTCTGTTGATGTTAAAAAAACTTTCTAAGTTTAAAAATATTTGTTGGATGATAAACACTATAATTTGACAGAAACTAATTTTGGAATTAATCTCTTAAGATTAATTATGGATTTGGTATTATATTTTAAGATATGTGCATTTTTGTATGACAGATCTAGGTTAAAAAATTAGTCAATTATTAATTGGTTAATATCTCCGACATTCATGATGCAAACCATATTTTTATTGCAAATTATATGGCAAATTTGACTGTTTTTTTAAGTTTTTATTTGAAGTTTTATTTAGTGCACAGTTAGTTTGCTACGAAAAAAGTATAAATGAAGGGCAAAGAAAAAATTTAGCACTTTTTTTCCACACAGCTTTGTAATATTAAATACATTATGATGCTCGATTTTGCATAAATGCTAACAAGAAAATAAAATTTACAACATATGGCGAAAAAAAAAAATTAAACACCTTTTTGGATAAATGTTCAACAATATAAATTACAAAGAGGACAACAGTTAAATAATAAAAATATACAAGAAAATATCTGTTTTAAAGGAATGATTGAATTTATCTAAATAATATATTGGTTATTATAAAATAACAAAATCGTAACTTTTTCTAAACCCATTTTTCACGTTATTCATTGAGATTAACAATAAAACCTTAAGTAGTCATAAATTTGTGTTTTTTACAACAAAATTTATGACAACAAAATATAATTGTTTAATGAGATTGAATAAAAAATTATATATTCATTCAGCAAATGAAATGACGACTTATTTTAGTTATTAGTAAATGAGCACAGCCTTATTGTTGATTTTTAAATTATATTTGATTTTTTTTGAGTTACATATAAATATTTATTGATTTTTTAAAAATAAACACTTAATCTAACAATTAGAAGTGCACATTTACTTATAATACTAAAATACATTATATTTTTGTATTTTATTTTTTGACATTTTTTGTTTTGTTTTAAATAACTTCATCTTAACTGCCTTTTACTTTGCAATTATAAAACTATCACAATAACAAATGACTAATTATAACTTAAAAATTAAAATGGTTAAAAAATAAATTCTTGCTTAATACTGAAAAATTGCATGGGAACAAATTCTTAACTCTTAAAAGTCTCGCATGGGATCTTAGGGGAGATAATTTAAACTGTAAGTAAACGACTAAATAATTTCTGAATAACAATTTAAAAATATTTTAAACGACCACCAAGCAAAATATATGATTGTTGTTTTATATTTTTGTATAATTAAATAGGCCATTAGTAAACAAAAAAATGTGATGTAATTTTAACCAATTTAAGGAAAATCTTAATACTTTGTGACTAATTTTAACAAGTGCCACAATTTACATCTTAGTGCATCATCTTAATATTACGATTATTTAATTAGAACTAGGACATTTTCTTAATACCTAGTTTAAAAATAGTATTATGGTATTGTCTCAATAGAATCTCAGTTAAGTTCAGGAATGATAATTGCTGGCTTATTACGGTGTCATTTCAGACCCAATTTACTGAGTTTCATCAATTGAATATTACGAGTAAACATTTAAAATTTTTATCATTTACAAACCTTCTATTCCATTTTTGTAATATCACGCCATATAATATATTTGTATAACCCATATTTCAGGCACAATTAAGAATAAATATTTTATGCATATACATATTTTCATAGTGAAACTTAAATATATTTATATGATAATTTCCATTTGTGATATATTATTCTGACCTTAGATGGCCATCTAACAAATAGCATAAAATTAAGAATATTTAAGAATTCTTATATATATATATATATATAATTAAACATAACAACTGGTAAATAATATAATCAAGGAACCTATATGACTTAAGTATCACCATTTGTTTATCCAGTGAGCTTTGAAAAACAAAAACAAAAAACACGGAAAAAATATGTACTACAAGTTTTTAATAATTTTGGTAAACAAAAAAATCAATAACAAAAATTAAAAGAGACTAGGAATAACTTCAATTCTGCACCAATACTCAGCAAATTGAATTAATTAAAAGACATTATTTTGAAAAATGTGTTTCGCCCTACACTAGTGTGCAAATTCATTTATCTAATTTTATAAGTATTTTGATAATTAAGTATTACTATTTTAAGGACATAAATGCTTTTTCTTGTAACCAAGGGCGCATGTATTAATTCCACCATAATAAAACAAACAACGTCAGTGAAAAGAAGATTGTTACGCGACCCCCCTCCCATAAAAACAAAAAAAAGTTCTAATACTCAATGACTTATAAACTAGCTTAAAACATTACTGGGGGCATGCTCTCGTGCTGGAAGCTGTCTAACTTTCATACTGCCATCTGCACCACAAGAGAAAAGGCGTGCACTCGAATCCAGGTAGATCTGGGTGACGCCTTGCCCGATCGGTTTAAAAAAGCTCGATTTAGCATGCTCTCCAGGGAAATTGTAAAGAACTTGATGTATCGTCAAACCCCAGACCTAAAAACAAAACAAGGTCAAATAAAATTTTGACTTTTTTTCCTTGAACATAATTTTAAATAAATGTTGATTACATTTTTGATAATTTAGTTAAAACATAACATTAACAAACCCACTTCCAGACATACAGAGCAAAAACAGGCTTCTGATGCACTTTTATTCCCTGTTGTTCAGCTTCCTTTCTTCCACTGCAACTTAAAATGTCTATTGAATGAGTGACCCTTTTTTATTTCCTCTAACTACTGTTATGGTAATTTAGCACTTTTCAGGGTTCCTTTTCGCTTATTTCTTTACGCGTTAATATTGCTTTTCCAAAAAGCTGTTTCCGGGCTAATGCTTTGCTGGTATGTACAGATGTTCCTGCCAACTTCGTGAGAGGCTTCTGCCTCAGTTTTCTCCATTTTTCTGAGGTGGTATCTGAATGGGCAATGGCCAGTGTAACGGCATATTATTTTACTTAATTATTACCAACTGAGAGAAAGAGGTAGATTTTTGATTTCCTGGTTGAGTAACTGTTTTGATTATTTTGAACCTGGTGATTTCATCCATTTCTTTCTACATCTATTTGTTCAGTTCCGCTTTTAGCATGCTTTGGGTTGTGCTAATTTGCAGTTCTGGTCCAAGTTGCTCCTATTTATCCTAGTCTGTCAGCCTCTTTGTGACCTTCAATCCCCTCATATCCTGGTACACACCTTAGTTACCTGATTACGATTCTATAGAAGCTGTAAATTAGACAATTCCAGTCCAGCTTTGAATTGAAGGTGGAGGAGTCTAAGGTCTTCAGTGCTGCTTAGCCTATCTGTGCCCCTTTAATTCTTTTTTTAAAAGTATTTCTTGTCCACAGAATCTATTGCATGGATTACAGCTTAGAAAATTGACGGTGGGGGCCTAGCCATTTTACTAGATCAAAATTTCGGCTTTTAACTCTTGTGCCCACTAAATGTTCCATTTTAGATCCAGTGCCATAATTTTTTAACGAACTTATTTTAAAAATAAAACCTGACCTCAGGACCAGAATCATTCTAGGTTCAAATACTGGCATTGCAATTGGAATTTTATTTGATAATAATTTGAAAAAAGTATTGTAAAGTTCTGACTTTTGTCCACCACACCCAACACATCCAACATATGTACAGGACCTTTTTTTTTTAATTTCAGACCACCACTGTATTTTTTTTATTATTACCTTGATATCTCCATCTGCTGCACCCGTAGCAAAAAATTCTTCTGCAGGATCGGCAGAAAGACATTTTATAGGTGAGTCATGAGCTGTGAATCTGTGCCTAAGTGAGCGCTGCCTCACATCTACAATGCAAACATCTCCCTTTTTCCCAGCAGATATTAGCAGTTGGTGCTGGGGAGCGAATACCAACGACGAGGCACCTTGGTCATGGCACGTGAAAGCTGTACAAAACAAAATTTTCATTAATGTTGTTCAAAAGTTGGAGAATGAATTATTTTTGACCTGTTATCAAAGCTTTTTTCTGGGGCAGCAGAGTATCCCAAAGAGCGACATTTTTACTTTCTGAGCTGTGACCAGCGGTTGCAACCATGCTACAGGATCCCAGAAAGACAAAGTCGCTTGTCACTTTATTGTGACACTGGCAGGTCTGAAATTATAAAATAAATAAAATTTAATGATTAATGCTTTTAGTATGTATGTATGTATAATTGTCGGAAGTCATATTTGGAAATTGAAAAGTGAGGAGGAGGAGCACTTTTTGACTGACTGTCAGAACACAAGAAGCAACTGGGTCAATAGCATTTGGTGTAAGTACAGTCAAATCATAAAAAAATTATAATTTTTAGTTTGTGTTTTTTGACACCCAACATCAGCATCTTAATTAATATAATATATATTATATATAATAATATATTATAATATATAATTAATATAATATATAATCTTTTTAATTAAGAAAATAAAGTTTGTAAACATTTATTTATTCAACTTACAAAAAACGGACGAGACGCTGATGAAGAGATGCCAACTTGGAAAAGGCTGAGGTTGCCATCGCCGTCAGCTACGCCGAATTTGTTCCCGTGTTGGGAGAACCTAACTCTAGTGACTTTTGCAAATGTTCCCCCTGGCCTGGGGATGGTCACAGCCTGGTTGTGACCCCATTCCCACATCTGCACAGAACCGTCTTGAGATCCCGTCAAGTCTAACAAGAAGAAAAAAAATTACAACATGCCGCCAATCCTCATGACAAATTTCATACATAGAGGTAGCAAAGGATGAGCACTCATCTTTCTAATCCCGTCTACGCGATGCTTTAAAACCTAAAATATAAAAAAACAATTGTTTATTTATTTAATAATTATATTTTAAGTATGCTTTCCATTAATTAACATACCAGATAGTTTAACATAATTATAATGTACATTTTATACACTGTAACTATAAACATGTTAAAGTATAATTAAGTAAATACCTCTTTGTTTCTAGAATCAATTAACTTACAAACATATTCACTATGGTACAGTCCAAAATATTTAGATTACAATCAAAATCTCAGGGGAAAATACACAAGTATCAACTGTAAACTAAAATACCTCCTATTTTGATATTAAGGTGTTTTACATGAAAAGCCAACAGAAATTTCAATAGCACACTACATGTGACAGCAAGATCGAATTGTGCCAATGTTCTTAGCCAACATAGTTTCCATAATACATTACGATAATTTTAATAAGATTAAGTGACTAAACAGTTTCATTCCGATTTTTATTAAATGTTGACATATGCAAAAGTTTAATAATGCCAAAGATTGCGAAGGCTTAAACAGACTTGGTTTTATAATTAGCAAAACATTCCACAGAAATCAAAGTGGCAAGCGGGAAAAAATAAACAAAATTGCATTATATTTTAATTATTTTGTTTGTAAATTGAGTGACGAGGTAGTGGATAATCAAAATATCTACTTTTGTTTGTTGTATTCTTGAAAAATTGATACAATAAATTACATAATTTTAGACGATATAATAATTTACATTATTAAACACAATAGCTTCTAATAGTAAACTGATAAGAAAAATCCATGCTTTCTCAAAAATTGGAAATGCAATAATATAAAATATACATTTGTTGAAACATGCACATGCAAACCTTTAACAAAAAAAATAAAAAATAAAAAAATAAAAAATAAAATAAAGACAAAAACTACTACACACACAACTGCAGAATATACAGAAGCTAAACGATTAAAAAAATTCTAAATAGGTAACGACTTAGAACACACTACCATGTTGAATGTAGAAAAAGTACGCTAAGTGAATCTTCTATTTTATTTACAGGATTTCAAGTAGTGTAGGTGCATTAATGAAACAATTTTATGTCAAGGTTTTATTCTCACCGCCTTCATTAAGTGCCGGCTGCGATCAATAACAAACTGACAGAAGTTTGGATCGTGCGATCCAGGAAAGTTGAGTCCCTTCATCTGATTTGCAGCAATTGGGGAAAGAAGTGAAATTTAGCAAATAAAATTTATTTAAAAAAAATAAAAAAAGGGCGGTAGCATACAAAAAATTCGCACAATAAAATGTCTTGGTTTAAAAAATTATAAACCTAGGACCAATTGACGGGAATTGCAATTTTTTAACATACATACCTAATTATGATGAGAACATTAAATAAATTAATTTTGAAAAATAAAACAGACACCAAAGTAGAATACTTCACACCATAATCAAAACAATAGGTTCGTCTTCAAGTAAAGCCTGCACTTTCATGGTGTGCTCATTGATATATTTATTTAACAGGTGATCTTACGCAGCACCTGTAAATCTATTGGTGGAGTGCTTAGTCCTTGTACTTGAAATACGTGGGTGTTTTGTCTGTAAAGCCAAGATTATGTAAGAGCTTAATGTCTATTTACACTCGAGAAAAAATACAAAACGAATACAATAAGACTGCAAATAAGATCATTTTATCATTCTATGTACATATAATTTATAAATTATCATGTATCTAGTATTTTTTGAAATGTAGATTTAGTGTTTTAAAAACTAAGTTTAATATAACAAAAAATAGGTTGTTGGCATACTATATTGGTAAAAAAGAGCAGTTGTTTAAAGTAAACAAATCCTACAATTCACTTTGACCACTTTTGCAGATGGTTAGACAATAATTTTTCACTTTTTTACATTTTGGTCATATCTATTCTCCAAAAATTTGTATAATTTTATTGTGTCAATTGTAATGAGTTTAATTCGGAGCATGAATAGATTTACATATATTACATTTGATAAATTTTAAACCTAACATGAGAGTATTACTACCCCATATCAACCCCCATGTTCCGGTGCATTTGAAAAAGCCAGAATCAAACCCAACATTTTTTTTTCAATTCTCAAGAACACAGGACCCTTACAGTGATGATTCTGACCAGCAATTGCCATAATAAAGGGCATCAAACTAAATCCTAGACAGGATATTGTTGAAGATATGGTTATGATTAGCAAGAAAAGATTAATTTTGAGAGAAAATTTCATTCAAACCATTCTGGAAAATAGAGATTTTAGTAAAAATAAAACTCCAAATTTGAAAGGATAGACATAGATTTATCCAAAATGAAACAAAAAATGGGAACTGGGGCAAAAGTATCAAATTGCTTCATAAAAAAACCATTGGGATACATTCTCTCAATCTTCTTAGCTGAGACCAACTCTGTGCTCAGGTATACGCAAAAATGGTCTTAACTGCCAAGTCTATAAAGATTAGAAAATGTTTATAACTGTCTTAAACAGAAAGACAGATGTTGAGGAAAATCACAATTTGGTGTCTCGAGGAATCAAGGTTACAAAAGTGGTGGTTAGAGCAACGGTGTGGGCTCGAATACCGCTCATGATGTTAATTTTTCTTTTCAACTGTCTTTGCATAAAAATTGAAAATAAAAATCACAAGTCCTTTCCCAGTCATTACTAGTTAGGATAAAAAGTTAAAAAAAGAAAATAGAAAAAAAAAGAATTTGAAAGAAAGGTTGAGTGGTTAGGGTTTCCAACTTGTATTTGCCACGCTAGCTATTCTGGTTTTGAATCCTGGATTAGCCCATGGAATTTTAATTGCATTGAAAATGCATTGTAATGATGTGACCCCTTGGGTGTGACACCCAATGGGTAGTGGGACGTTAAGCCCTCCTGTATGTACTTTGGAAAGACAATAATAGTACCTAAAGAAATTAAGCAACACCTAGGAAAGTGACCAGTCTTAAAAAAGAACAGTCTCCAGTGGAAAGTCTCCCACAGCACGTATAAAAAAATAAGCTCAATCCCCGATAGATCTGTTCATAAATGACAGTCGAGGTATTCATCATAGACGGCAAAAAAAAAAAAAAAAAAGACTAAAACTTTCAGGTGTTTGAACTTCAATGAGTGATGCCGCACAATTCTTTGAACATTGATCATATTTTGTTAATAATAGAAATAGTGAAAAATTGTTGCCTACATGCTCTTTAAAATTATAATGTTAACTACCTTAACTTTAACATAAATATTTATTTCAATTTATTTTTATTAATAATCATGAACAATATGTTTATTTCTTGTTATTATTACATTATTGATGTTATTTTAAATTTAAAAGTCATTAACATTTTAAAAATCCAGATACATTTTTTTAACATTGTGATATTTTATTTTTCTGTTTGTTTACTTAAATAATTGCAGTCCTTATTATAAAAATGGACACATGGCACAATATCCCCGATACAAAAAGAAAATTCACTTTAAACCGCTAGTGCACACAGCTGTGAATAAAATTTATAAAGCAAAAGACCCAAAACAACACAACAGTACATAGACCCCAGACACCACAATAGGCGTGACAGATTTATAAAACAAAAGAGAGTTGAAGTGATGGTTGAAGAAAAAGAGAGTGAAAGATATCTGAGATTGTGGTATGGGTCTTACCGGTGGGGGTTTAGCCCCGATTGCACCATTTCTGACACCTGATGTTTCTCGCTGACCCTACGCATTTAATACGGATTAAATTTAGTGCTGCCGCTAATTAAAACAGCACCATTTCATCAATTTCACATAAAAAATTCTCTAATACTGCTTGTAAGAAAAAATGAAACAAAGGTGATAATTAATGGAAAATGTGTTTAGACAAGTTAGTGTTCTTCATTGAATGAAAAATTTCCAATCAATTGAAAATTAAACTAATCAAATATTAGTAAGCAATGTTGTGTTTATTGTACTGAATATAAAATTACTGTGATATAAGATATATTAGAAATAAATAACGTGAAAAGAAACAATTTAAAATATGTTTGCTTAAATTGTAAAATGCTTGGATCAAAAAACTTACCATTGATGCGCCTCGTCCTGATTGGCCAGCCAACCCCGGTTGTGTATTCGTTGATGTACCACCACCTACTGGAGACGACTGAAGAATAGGCTTATCAGTGGGTGTCTGAATGACCAAAAATGAACTTGCTGGTATCAACTCCGGTTCCCTGTAGATAACATAAATTAGTAACATAATCAACGCTCACAAATGAACAAACTTACTTTATGCAATTAATTATGTCAAATTCGCATTCATCTTCTAGCCAAGATGGGAGTTCGAGGAGAAGTGAAATGTCCATTTCTTGTACTTCACGAGGAGTAGCCAGAGCAAGTAATCCTCCATTAACCTAGTTAATTTACAACAAATTAATAATATTTTTTAAGTAAAATTCACATACCACGGTAAACAACCACAAAGATTATTCACCTGATTAAGACAAAACGCAGATATTTGATCTTGATCTTTGTGTATTATTCTAAATGGTTCAAGCATCTGAGGCGTTTGAATGCCGTCATTCCCTCTGTCGCAAGTATCTGCAATCGAGCTGCGTGGACGTTTGCCGAATACGCACTTTATAAAAAAGTCCTGTACTAGTTCCTGTCTCACCAAATAACTCCATAGCCTTCTTGCTGGCGCTGCTGACCAATGTCTGGGACTGGAATAGCAAAGAATTACATTATGTTAAACCTTATATAACAAAACACAGGAAAATGTCTATCACATATAAGAAAGAACATCCAGCCTTGAACATCACAGTTTTTTATCCGACTACATTCTTAGGTATACATTCACTTTTCCACATCCAAAATGTAATTGTTACATGTAAACAATGTTTGTAAATCCCAGGCTCTGAAGATGATCTCAATAAAGATCGAAACGTTGGCATGATAAAGAAAATGTTTTTCTGAAACCTACATCACACCAGACAGCTTCTCACGATTTCTAAATAAATACCAATTAACGGTCACTAATTACCACACACATACTTTCTTAGGGTTGGAAAAATTCAAGTGCAGTGTAATCGAACCATGTCTAGAAAATATGAGACTCAGATGCTCATCTTGATAACATTTAAAAGTGTACTACAATCAATTATCAGTTCAGTTATTCTTGATTTGATTCTTATCTGATTTTGTCACAAAAAAAAGGCCCAAAATATAATATTTTGTTAAAATGTTCTTTAAAACCTTCATGCCTGAGTTATTGCTTGGCCTAGGCCACAAGTGCGTCTCTGTAACAAAATTTACTTATTAACTCAATCTCAATAGGTGTAAGTGTATTTAAATAATGTTATTGGGTGATGGTGAATTACTTAATAAAATATTTAACAAAATGGAAAGACAGGCATAGAGGTGAATATTTACACCACATTGTAGGTGATCAAGTTTCTTACGATGTATCGACTACGAATCAGCAGTTTCCCATAAATGAGACAAGTGTTTCATCAACTTCATCAGGATATAAAAGCAATATTGTTTGATGAAGTGGTTGAAAATATATGATATCGCTTTTTATTAGATTCTTGCCTTTGAAGATGATTATCAGGATCATCAAAACGCAATACTGTTTTACCAGTTAAAAATCAATTCCATGATCTAAAAACTTAGTATTCCAAAATTATCAATATCGCACCAGAGGCTTAGCCAGCCTGGGACATACCCCCTCTTTCAAGGCTTCTTAAACTGCCACTTCAACCAAGTCTCATGGGATGAGATCTTATGCACCCTGTTCAGGGTCATATACACACTCTGTCAGCAAGGACCTGTGATCCACACCGTCCCAAGTTGCGTACACAGTCTCATCAGGAAGGTTCATGCCTCAGAGGTCTCGCCAGCCTGAGGTCACACTAGACTGTACCAGGGAGACCGTGAGTCAGAGCCAGAGTTAGAGTGAGAACCTAAGTGACAGAGTCAGATCCAGTGATATCAATGAGTTCACCAGAAGTTCTTCCCGAGGAGTTTGTTGTCAGAGGGCCTCCTGCAATCTACCATTTTCAACATCTACAACCCAGCTTGACAACGTTCTTCCCCTGCATTAAGACTGTATGCTGAGCATTTATTCAATTAAGGCCTTTTTTCCTGGGGCATAAAATGGCGAAAATGATGCCTTTCTGGGTCACACGAGCATCTGGTGGTGTTACAAGCGAAAATGAGAGAGAAAAAAAACTTTTTTTTGCACTGGGGTGACCAGACTCGGCCAGAGACGAGGGTGCCCTCAGCAAGGTTGATTGAGGTCTGGAAGAGGCCGAAGATGCACGGGTGGCATTTGGAAGCTGAAGGAAGCCCAGCCAGGGCTCAGCGGGGACGCTGGTAAGGAGTGGGGCCCGACCGGCGTGAACAAGGACTCGAGCTGAGGGACTTTTCTCATCGTTGTGGAGTGGAGGGTTCGCGTGTGAGGGGAGAACTGCTCTGGTACAACAAGAAGAAGGACGTACACGAGGTTTGAGCTTTTAAGTTATAAGATTGGTTTCTGGACAGTTTTTTTTTTTTAAATTCTGAAAAGACTTGTTTTATTTCCTTTTTTTGTTTTACATTTTATTCATAATACAGAGGACATTAATATTTTACTTTCTTGTTGTGTTTTTATTTATTTATTTTATTTATCTTGTTATTTCACCCCGAGGGTTCACTGTTTTCCTAAAGGAAGAAAAATAAATAAATAAAAACAGTGTGGCGCTCGATTATTTCACTTTTGGAGACCAAGTGGCCACGGGAAAAAATCTCCACTGAGCCCCAGGTGGCGACCGAGTGAATTGCCAACGATCCGCCGAGGAACCGGTAACAGTGGACTGTTTGAACTGTGGGTGTCTCACAATAACTAACTTATAAAAGCGACGGACTTCTTTGAAATGGGAAGTAGAAGCTTGAGGAAAAAACATGATGAGACTGAAATACTGCCAGAGATTTATGTGAGCTTCTGTCTAGCAAAAAATTGTGCCAAAATTAGCTATAAAATATTTCATAAGTGACTCACAGCTATATCTGTACATTCATTGAGAGTTGATATAAAATAAATAAAGGCATTTTTCAGATTACAAAACTGAAAAATTGAACATGTTTTTGTGAAGCGTTGGAGTAGGCCTATATTTATAGAAGGGGCCTTTAACACGTTATATCTGTTTATTTAAGGATTTGGTTGATTCAATTAATTGCAAAAATATTAATTAGAAACGTAACAATTACTGAAACAAAATGACTTAATTTTTTAGAAATGGAAATAGAACGAAGAATTAAACAACCTGCGTTTGGACTAAACAATGCAACTTTTTTTTTTAAATTTGTAAAACTGGTGATTAAATTGTCTAATAAATTGTAACAAGTAGAAGCAAAGGAATGGTGTATCATTTTTAATTTACATTGTGAAAAATGTAATGGTCAAAAATTTTTTTAAAATGTTGTAATAAGTTTTAACGTACTGGAAAGGAGTATTTCCCTTTTCCAAAATGGATCGGTATTTCATAATGGCAGGTCCAGTCGGCTGCCCAAGTGGTGTGGGTTCTACGTAACAGCCTGGAATATATCGTGGAGGAGGTGGGCCTCGGGCCTCAAGGTCTTCTTTTAAAATCTCCTGCCACTGAGAAACTACTCTTAAAATCCCATGAATCAACGGGCTGCAGACCGGGAGCTCTGCAATAAAATAATATGATGATAATATAACATAGGTTTATGTATTTGAGGAGTATCCTTACCCTGTAAATCAATTCCTGCCACGGAAAGGAAGCTTTGGAGCTGATCATGGATAAGTTTGAGAACGGCTAATCTCATGATGGCCCAGGAATAACTGTTAGGGTTAGAATGTTCGGTATTCTCTTTATCTGTGTTGTTCTTTTTCTCTTTGGACTCGCCCTCAAAGACATCTTCTTCTTCCTCTTCACTCATATCACTTACATCAGAGCCAGCAGAATCATAATCAACATCCTGAGAGACTTCAACAGGCAATGTAGGCTAAGTAATGACAAAAAGAAAACATTTTGAAGAAAATCCCAAAAGGCAAACAGAAAATCCAAAAAATATATATTTCTTACTTTACTAAGAAAATATGAAATCATGGACATTTCTGGAGGAACAAATTGCTCTCTGTAAGTTGGCTTATCTTCCTTCATATTCTGACTTCCTGTTGGCGAACCGAACTGACCCAAGAGTTTCATGTTTAGTCGCATCCTTTGTTTTGTTAGAGAAGTGACTGTCGTCCACATGCCACTCTCATTTGGAATGCTCGCTTCTCTTTCAACGGGAGGTGTCCCTTGCTGTTTAAATTAAACGCAATTAGATTTTTACATTATAAGAATAAGGAAAAAAAAATTACAGTTTGAGCGACTCTTAATAGCTTTTTAACCCCGCCTCCAAACAAAATGGCCCATGTGGAATCAGTAAAATTTTGGCCACTTATCCTATACAGTATATGACAATCGCATGTTGCAAGTGCATATACTGCAAGGGACATATATGTCGCCACAAATGTTTCACAAAGAAGGATGTTCAATCTTGGCGTGTCGTCATCTTTTTCTCTGGCAAGGAGTGCTCGTAGGTTTGTCACGCCTGAAAGGTTCGTTACATATTCAGTCTGATCGCAAATTGTTCAAAAAATTAAACTAACCTGGCCATTTTGAAGGTTGAGTCGTTACTTGCAAAGGCTCGTCCACGGAGTATCTCCTCTTACGATTCTGACTCGCTATTAAATGACTGCTAGAATTTACAAAAGACAATGTGTCTAAGCCCGATGCCTGGAAACTGAAATACAAATGTGTCGTACCATGCTATCTTATTGAAATACTTAAATACAGCTATGGCAGAAAGACAGACACCTTGTAAAAATCATCAGCAATGGAATTTTTGCATCTTATGGTGACGATACGGCAGGACAATATAGTAATATCATCCTGCTGTCTTCCTTTTTTAAATCTGTCAAATGTGTTTTGTCATCTTCAGTGGTTGGCCTGCTTTTATTTTTCTATTTATTTTGGCAAGCCATCTCAATTGTAAACAATTAAAATGTGTTGTAAATAAGGAAATGATTGACCAGATGAACACACTGAAGATGGCAAAGTACACATTGGTTTATCTGATGAAAAAAACCAACAGAAAAGAAAACCAGGAGACAACTGGACTACACTAACAATTTTTTATATTTCAAAGATTTTATTGATTTTATTTTATTTCTAGTTTCCTACGGCATTTGCTGAGTATTAAATTAAGAAAAGATGAACTAAATCTTACAATGAGGGAATAACAGCTAGCTTAACTTTTCAGTTTAAAAGCCAACTGCAAAAAAATTGTGGAGGGATTGTAGGTTGAAAGAAGGCAGGGTGTAAAGTGAGAAGGAAACCCTAGCTGAGAGGAAAAAACAACACAGGAAGCATTTTAGTCATCACATGAGTCAATTAGTGGTTTTCTAATGCTTATTTAATGAATACACTAGATAAATTCTTCACGATCAGAATGATTGTAAAATTTGCTGAAAAAATATATGAGTCATTAAAAATATAAACAGAAATCCATTTTTTAACATCATTAAGAATATTATTTCCAATTTTCATGTTTGTAGAAGCTGTTTTTGTTAAAAAAAATAATAATTTAATAAATTTTAAATCAATCATAATACTTTTTGCCATGGCTGTTTGTAAGAAATTTTTTTCCAGCGACGGATTAGAAAAGATTAAATATTTGAAGTAGAAAAAAAAAAATCATTAAATACCTATCAACACTCAGTTTTACACTGCATGTATCGCTGTCACAGAGCGATTGATAAATACACGCAGATAGTGCAACAGCAAGATCCCTCAAAACAAAGACTTCACTGAGGTTGACACAGTTCAACGTTGGAGGTGTTCGCTGTTCTATAATAGCCTGAAGCATGTCATGTGCCAGTGCCTGTAATAATAAATGAATCAAAATTATTCTGACTATGATAAATGTAATGGCATAAATACCTGCAAGTGCCTGACAGGATCTGCAATGACTGTTTTGTTGCACGCTACACTGGCAGAGAGGAGTGGAAGTGTCGTTGGGAAGGGCAATGGCGAAAGGAGCTGCTGCTGCGTTTTCTCCTGCTGAAGTTCTTGTAAAAGAAGGACTAGTTCCATTCGAACAGAAGCTAATCCGCCTCCACTTGCCCCATGTAGGGAACAATAGCTGAGTAAAGTCCTAAGAAGGGTCTCATTTGCTAGAAGAAAAAAAAAGTTTAAATTATGTGAATAAAAATTATTCAAGAATGATGATTTAGAACTAGACAAACCTTTCAACCATTTCTTCCGTCTTGCTGCTCTTTGTACTTTAGCTTCGAAATCAGATTTTTCAGCCATCAGAATTTCATGTAAAGTAGGTTTTTCCTTGCTGAGTGTTGGTGTGTTACAATCTCTCACATCTTGAGCAGCCTCTGCTATGTCATCTTTTTTTAAAATAAAAACGATAGAGTAAGGACATTTAAACAAAAAATATATATTTCAATACTACAAAAAGAAAAAGATATTTACAGGAAATCTCATTTGTTTCAATATCACCAGGGCTGTAGTTGCATAACTGTCTAAGGGCTTCTACTTCCCTTTCAAGCCAAAGGTACAGATGATATCTTAATTGGCCACCATCGACTTCATACCCCGTAGCAAGAGTCGAAAGTTCTTCCATTAAAATTTTAAGGCAAGCCACAAATTTCAACTGCTGGGCCATTATGTCCATCTGGCCACCACTGGAATAAGGTTCTACAGAAGAAATAGTTAAATTTTACAAAAAAATAGTAAATAATGAACAATTTTTATAGAAAAACAAACAAACCAGCTGCTTTTGGTGATTGAGACGAATTTCGTAGTTCATCATTATTATCGCCAATTTTCTTCATTTGAAGCGGCTCATCTTCTTCAGACTCTTCGTTTTCTTCTTCATCATCCCAACCCAGATCGAGTTTATCATCTTTTTGCCCAGTTACAGGCTGTGACCAGTCTACAGTTTCCATACGTACTTCTAAATAAAGTTCATTTTGAAATTAACATCCCTTGAACATAGTATCAACCTTTGATTAGATAGTACAAACCATTTTGTTTTGAACTTTCAACAATGGGCTCATTCCAATTAAGTATTCCAGTATCTATCTGGAAATTGTGAATTTTTGATTTACTCGGACTGTTAATAACACCTGGAACACAAAAATTCATGAAAGCCAACATTTAATTAAACTTATAGAAAATGCATAAGAAAATCTTAAGAATTGCAAATAAAATTTATTTGTGAAATAAGCCCAGAATTATACATCCAACCAAGAAGCAATCATAATCTAGTGTCCCAATGGCCATCAAACAGCAATTTGCCATCAACTATTAAGCATCATTGCTTTGAAAAATTATACCCGACTTAAAAATTCATATTTTAAAATTACAGAAAATATATTTTTTAATAAATAATTTGTAGCTTGTATATCTAAAAATAAAGGTGTACATATATATTTTATTTTCTCCTGGTCACAACATTGACATTATGGCTAGGTTACACCTACCCGAAGGACACAGGTTAAGAGAAACCAGCCAATGCACTCAATATGAAGAATTAAGGAGCGAAGTGGTCTCAATCCTATCATCATATAAGGCAATGTGGCAGTTTTCAGGATAGGAAGGTTTAAATAAGGGTGGGGTAGAAGGGTTAGGATGAATTGAGAGCTTGGTGTGAAAAGTTTGGAAGACGGTTAAAATCAGTTCATTGACAAAAATAATGTTAGCTATGTAAGAAGGACTTTTGACAATGGATCTGAGTAGTTTTGATTGGAAGTATTGGTTATGCTGGATATTAATTAGCTTGTGCCACTCTGTATGTCCAAACTCCAAAGTTATCACAATAATGTGTTGTATAGAGGAGGTTGAATTTTGACCATAAAAAGTTGTGTCTTAAGTCTCGGGTTCAATGCCAGCCTGCGTTTAGAAAAGGGCTCAAGTTTCCTACTTAAATGAAATCAATTATTGACGTACAATGGAGGGCAAGATTCCAGTAAAAATGTACAATCAGTCAGTTTTGCCCTCCATTTTTGCACCAGTTTTTGATAAGCTCAATTGGATGTTGTTTGGATAGGACTCGGATAAGTGGTGTTGGTGTTTGGATGTCATGAAAGTCAGCAGTGTAAATGGTATACAGGGTGGGACCAAGAATGCTCCCTTGTGGCACGCCGGCTTCTATTGGTCTGACATCTTGATTTTCTGTGCCACACAAAACTCTGAAGCAGTGAATATTCTAGAATAAGTTATTATGGGATAGGTAGGAAGCGTTTAGAGCTTATAAAAAAAGAATGCCTGGGCTGGTCTGTTTTTTCAGTAAAAATTTTTTGAAACGTTTTGATCAGTTTAATTTCTAGTTTTGTTTCATTGTTGCAATCAGTGAAGTTCAGAGCTTCCTGTTTTGCATAGATAATTTTTCTTTTATTAACTGTCGGTTTTAAATGGAAAATGTATGTAAGAACGTGGTCTGACAGAGACCGGTGTGTCAAAAGAACGGAAACGTCCATTCATCACAGCCATCAGCATCGGCGCGATAAAATTCTCAAAGCTTAGTAAGAATTTGCTTTTACAGAAAACTATTAGTGTGAAACGGCGACAAAATACCGAGAAATGTTGAACTGGCGAACAAGAATTTAAGTGTGGATTAACTTTTAACTTTTTTTGTAACTTAGTTTCACCCACGAATCAGAACTTTTCGCCTCTTACGAATTAACAACTTGGCGTTTATTAGAAACTTACGGCCGTTTTGTTTTTAAAAGAAACATTGTATGTATTTATAAAAAGAGTAGACAAATTGTTCAAAATTTTCAGTCAATTTGGAAGGAAACAAAACCAATCTGTGCAGTCATAATGAATGCTTTGCAGTCTGCTATTTGAAACTTCAATATATCATTGCCACGAGAAAATTCTTTTCGAAAGTCATCCCAACATCCCAAGATTACCACAATTCTGGGAGGCCGTTCTAAAAAAAATAAATAAATAAATTCGAATCTTAAATTTTTAGGCGTGGCAACTGTGTGAACGAGACATGTTTTTAAGTTTCAACCACCAAGTTAACAGAATTAAACGAAATTTGATGCTATTCAATTTCACGAAGTATCACGAACACACACAAGTGCAAGTTCCCCCTCTATTGATGAAACCCGAGGACAAGGACGTCTACACGCGCACAGTATGTTGGCTTAGCGGCTAGGGAACCAGTTTAGAGACAAGTCTCAATAGGTAGGTATTAAGAATATTCATATTATTAAAAACAAATTCACAATGAAGTAAATAACTGTTAAATTTATATAAAGTTTATTCATAAAGTTTAAAAAACAATTATTTACAATGTAAGTTTATACACCAAACCTCTAACGAATACAGCGCAAAATTACCTATAAAATAAATAATTATCTTGCCAAATACCAATGGAATGGTAGAAATATTGAAGAATTCCAGCATAATATGACGTTGTATCCAATTGTTCGTACGTGTGCTTTTTTAAAGTCATTACTGTCGTAAACTTTGTGCCGGTATTTTTGTTTTGTGTTCTTTGATGTCTTGAGGACTAAAACTGAGAAGTTTTTCATGTTTTTCCAGTCGGTAATTATGCTATTTTACCGTAGCGAAAGTAGTTTTATTTGTGAGCCGATTCGCTAATAAATTAAACATACGGAGTAAATATCGGGTTCGAATCCCTCTCGTGCCATTAACTTTTTTTCATCTCAACTAAAAACTTTAATTAATTGTACGGAGTAAAATCAATTAATTCCAAACTTATCCTTTAACGGATCGACAACTTATATCAATAGTTTAGTTAAAAATGCAGAACCAATTTACAGACATATGTAGTTATTAAAAATATTCATATTATTAAAAAAAAGGACACAATGTAGTAAATAACTGTTAAATTTATATAAAGTTTATTCATAAAGTCCCAAGTTTAAAAAAATATATTTACAATATATCGATTAGGTTTCGTGGTCCGATTGACCAAATAAATTCTTTTCAATTAATTAATCTTTACGTAAGGTATTAGTTGAGATAAAAAAGTCAGTGTCACGAGCGGGATTCGAACCCAGGACCTTCGGCTAAATACTCTACAGCTCAAGTTGTACAGCAGCGGGGTATAGCCAAAGGTCGTAGGTTCGAATCCCGCTCGGTAACACTCACTTTTTTATCTCAACCAATACTTTACATAAAGATTAATTAATTTACAATATATTTTATAAACCAAACTTCTAACGAATACAGTGCAAAACTAACTGTAAAATAAATAATTATCTTTCCAAATACGGATGGAATGGTAGAAATATTCAAGACATTCCGGTATGAATTTTCTAGGTCATACGAATTCCAGCATAATATAACGCTGTATCTAAATGTTCGTACGTGTGCTTTTTTTAAGCCACTACTGTCGTAAAATATGTGCCGGTATTGTCTTTGTTTTCTATTCTTTGATGTCTCGAGGACTAATGAGAATTTGTCTACGTTTTTCCAGTCGGTAATTACGTTATTTTACCGTAGCGAAAGTAGTTTTATTGTGAGCCGATTCACCAATAAATTAAACATACAGAGTAAAATCAGTTAATTCCAAACTTTAACGGATCGACAACTTATTTCAATACTCAGTTAAAAATGCAGGCTTTACGTGGATTTTTGTTTGCCTTTTAAAACAAATAACTCTTTTCATTGGCTGAAAAAAAATGTCAACGGTTTAACATATTAGGCGATTAGTTCATTCACACGATAAGAAAGACAAGCATGATAACAAATGGAACAAAGCCTATCTTGAATCATGTAAAATTGAAAATGAAATTTTATTAATTTATTCCAGTTATTCCAGTTAAGATAAGGTAAAATGGTGATCGCATGGAGAAAAGATCAAAAACGTGCCGAGCTTTCGTCGTATTTAAATTTACAAAACTTGCTTGTTAACTTCAACATTTGTAAATTTTAATCTGGACAATTACTACCCTGAAGGTGCTATATCGAAAGCTCGGCATGTTGCTGTTTCTGCCTGACAATTCTGCCTACTAATACAATTTCAAAATTTACTACTAGAATTCAAGACACATTAAAGGCTTATTTCGAACTGTCATGAATTTAAGCCGGAAAGGAAAATATTAACCGTTTCAACCTAATAGACCGGCCTAAATAACAAGGGCAATTAAGCAATAAATGGCCCGGGCTGGAGAAAATAATTTACTAGTTAAACCCTAAGAATTAATTTGTTTTATGCCTTTTGTTGGATTGTACCGTATTGTACCATTGGACCATATTTCCTATATGACATTTTTAGTCTATTTAACAATCTACAACAACCACAAACAGATGTCAGTTTGTTCATTACTCTTTTCTACTTGACATTGACTTTTATAGATTTTCATGCCAAAATGTTGCAATGGTTCTATTAAATTATTGAAAAGTGTTTTTTTCTTCGGATTTTTCATTCTGTATTGGAAAAGTGTAAAAGAAACATGTAATGACAATTAACTGTATTTTTCAAGCCGGAACGATAAATAATATTGACGTAAACTTTCCTTTTATAAAGATGGTTTTCTGATAAGTTATGTCTTAAAAGATTCATTTCATTGTTAAATGATTCAAATTATGACGTTATTCTTTTATGCTCCGCCATAAAATCCTTATATTCACGGTAAATAAGATTTTGAATCGTTTTATATTAAGCTTTTTGCCTTCTTGTATTTTATTAACGTCATTAAGATGTGCTGCTGTAGTAAGATAAGCGATATTTAATAAAATAAACAGACAATACAATATTTCAGAAAATGTTCAAGGCTGGAACTTTTGGATTTATTACTTGAACTCAAATCCAGACAATTTTTCTTATATCGTTTCTCATATAGATTTAAAACTATTTGGAGATGTTCAATAAAAGTGTAAATACTTTTTTTGACCTATGTTGCCAACATTATGACAATTTAGATAAATTAGGGGGCCATAAAATTCCAAGCGCGAAGCTTGAAATTAAAACACAAGACGTACAACGTATTTTCTACACATATTAAACAAACATTTTTAAATATTAATTTTATGTTTTAATTACAAAATAAATTGCTAAATGAAATTAATTTAATAAAGACACTATACACCCAATTGCAGTTGTATTATATCGATTTTACTGTAGATTAAAGTTTGTTGTTCCAATTTTTCAGATTTGGGTGAATTATTAAAGAAAATAGAAATTTATTAAATAAAGATAATTTAGAGTATAAGGATTGAATCGAATTAAAAGTACAAGCGCACTACTGAAAGTGTTAAGACAGTTTTTATTCTTAGGTTTTCCTATGAGCTTATCAAGACAGTTAAAAAGTAGAACGAAAAATAAAAGGTCGTCTATATCCAAGGTTTTGTGATTTTTCAAGGAATATTGTAACAAAAATGACGATATATGAATTTTTTCGAGTTTCACTTGGTCATGCTGAAGATATTTGTGTCAAATCCTAAATACGCCTCCTTTCCCCTGAAATCTTGAAAAATAAACACTCACGATCTATTTTTAATCTGTGAAACAACATTGTTCGGTCAGTAGTCAAGAAGGCATGAAAGAAACGAAAAAGGTTTAGGAATTTACAAAAATCTCGTTAAGGTAATCCAATTGAAAGTGACCATCCAAGTCTATATTTGAAGCTTCATGCTGAACTATTTTTAGTAAAATACTAGTACTATTTCCATTTATATATTTTATTATTGTTATGTACCTTATTTTATACCAGAAACAAATATCTTTCACTAATGATTGTACGTCGATACGCCCATCATCGATCACCAACACTTTTTTTTGCTTTAACTTAATGTATAGTATATTATAAGAAATATACAATATGCCATGAAGGAAGATAGAGGTCATGTTGCAGACAAGAGCTGTCAAACAGGAAAACTTAAAGGAATTTTCAAAATTTGGTATTGTCTTTTGTTTGTCATAGTATTAAGTTTTTGAACCTCAGAATCCAGGACGCACCAAACTACATTAACAGTAGTAACTTTATTTTACACACATTTACACTGCCTGCGATGCGATATGGCCCGTTTAGAAGCAGAAATCGCAAAGATAGTAGCTGTCTTTCACTTTGCATGCTGCAGCGCGCATCTAGTTTAAACTGGGTGCGCTACGATCCGATATTTCGTGATTAGAAGCTGAAATTGCAAAGAAAATAGCTGCCATTCACTTTGCATGCTGCGTCGTGCATCTACTTTGAACTAGCTGCTATGCGAACTGATATTTCGCGTTTAGAAGCAAAAATCGCAAAGAGAGTAACTGCCATTCACTTTGCATGCTGCTGCGTACATCTAGTTTAAACTGGGTGCGATGCGAACTGATATTTCGCGTTTAGAAGCAAAAATCGCAAAAAGAGTAACTGCCATTCACTTTGCATGCTGCAGCGCGCATCTAGTTTAAACTGGGTGCGATGCGAACCGATATTTCGCGATTAGAAGCAGAAATCGCGAAGATAAGAGCTTCCAATCACTTTGCATGCTGCAGAGCGCATCTAGTTTGAACTAGCTGCTATGCGAACCGATATTTCGCGTTTAGAAGCAGAAATCGCAAAGAGAGTAACTGCCATTCACTTTGCATGCTGCAGCGCGCAACTAGTTTAAACTGGGTGCGCTACGGACCGATATTTCCCGTTTAGAAGCAGAAATCGCAAAGATAGCAGCTGTCTTTCACTTTGCATGCTGCAGCGCGCATCTAGTTTAAACTGGGTGCGATGCGAACCGATATTTCGTGATTAGAAGCTGAAATTGCAAAGAAAATAGCTGCTATTCACTTTGCATGCTGCATCGTGCATCTAGCTTGAACTAGCTGCTATGCGAACCGATATTTCGCGTTTGGAAGCAAAAATCGCAAAGAGAATAGCTGCCATTCACTTTGCATGCTGCTGCTTGTTTAAACTAGCTGCCATTCACTTTGCATGCTGCAGTGCGCATCTAGTTTAAACTGGGTATATTTCGTGATTACAAGCTGAAATTGCAAAGATAGCAGCTGTCTTTCACTTTGCATGCTGCAGCGCGCATCTAGTTTAAACTAGGTGCGATGCGAACCGATATTTCGTGATTAGAAGCTGAAATTGCAAAGAAAATAGCTGCCATTCACTTTGCATGCTGCGTCGTGCATCTAGTTTAAACTGGCTGCTATGAGAAGCGAACCGATATTTCACGATTAGAAGCAGAAATCGCGAAGATAAGAGCTTCTAATCATTTTGCATACTGTAGGGTGCTATCTTGTTTAAACTGGCTGCGATTCTCAATTTTTTTCTACATTTCGATTAGGAAAACAATAAATATAAAGTTTTATTAAACAATTACTTGATTGCATATATGCTGTATATTTACAACGAAGAACCTACTTGTGTTTAGTTAGTTTAGGCGAATTCTTTCCTGAGTCTTTTGTCTCTTTAGAGTGTTTTTCTACAAATATGAGTCTTTAATTGTTCCTTTCGTTAATTACTCCTTTTTTGTTGCAGTTTGAAAATTTTCAGAAGGGTTTCTGGGTCTACGAGTATTGTTTTGACATAGCATCGCGGGAAAATAATTCTGATATGCTAGCCAAGGGTACTGCAGGTCACGGTCTGGAAGGTTTTAGCTTCCAGAGGATGTAGTTTCCCTTTATGTGAAATTTTAGCGTGTTACAAGTTTTTCTTAACGGAAAGTCGAGTTATGCAATTATTCTATTGAAACAAAACTAATCTTTCCTAACGATATATGAGCCTTTCTGACCTCGGTTATGCTTAAATAAAAAGTGGTGCAAGGTGCACTCATGGTGGAAACATTGAAAAATATAGGAGTGAAACAAAGCCTTGTGAAGTTCCAGAAAAGCTAACAGATCAATGTAAATTTTTGACGCAATGTAACTCAGAACCTCATCTAGATGGGGGGGGGGAGCAACAAAACGGTTTAATTTACATTTTAGTCTGTAATGCCAGGTTTTGTTTTCTCTGCTAATCTGGGCTAAACTGCTTCAGTAGAAATAGGGAGAATTGTAAAACACAGTTTGGAAAGGAACTATTTTTTAAACTTTTCTGCCTATCATAATTCTAGGTTTTGGAATAACGAAATCTTAAGAAGCAATATTGTAGATAAACCAAGAACCAGAAGAAACCAACCAACCACCAGAAAGAAATAAGAACCACTTCTTTTTTTTGGAAGTTTGATTATAGCAATAGAAATTTCATCGTGCCTTTTAATAAAAAAAAACCTTTGTTATTTTCCTTGATGCTGTACGTAGGAAATACCTGAAAATTTATATTAACATCCCTTCCGCAGATTGAAAACTTGAAAAATAAGATGCATTGTACGCGTAGTACATATTAGCTATAAAAATTGAAAATAAAAAGAGGTCGTGAAATTTATAAAATATTCTCAACGCAGGATAAATTGAAAGATAAGCATTGAAGATGTTTATGTCAAACTACATTTTACCAAAAAATTTGAAAAAGTTCCAACTTTCAAATAGTTCATGTTGGGAAGTTCTTTAATTTTCTTCTTTTCTTTAATGTTACGTAAACAAAAGGATTGTGGCATTACAATTTTTTTAAATATATGTATTAAGCTAGATTCTCAAAGTTAAAAACGACGCTAGATTCTTTGCGCTAAGCCATTAGAAGAACCTTCGAGGGATTCTTTCAATTTCATATATCTCATAATAATTGTAAATATCTATGAAAATTTTAAAAACAATACCAATGAAAAATTGATTATAAAGCTTTTCAAAGTAAGATTTTTTTTCAAGATCAAGAAATAAATACCGCAAAAGTTTTCTTTCTTATAAAACCTCCCGAGAACATACATTTCTACAGAAATGACGCGCTTTATTTTTTGGAATATTCCAATTTTTTGACTTTTATAATATTGTCAAGACAATAATGAAAGTTTTATTCGTTAAAGTAATAATGGAAGCATACTGGAAAGTCAGTTTGGAAGAGGAGTTCAAACGTAATAAGGAACTGAAACAAGATGACCTGACGTTGATCAAAGACTGGATGAGCAAAACACCACATCTACCCAAACTTATCGGTAGGAAGTTCAAAACAAAACCGTCTTTCCAGAGAGTTTCAATGTAAAATTTAAGTTTGAATTTTCAGACGTTCAGATAGTTTTGTTTCTGAGAGCGTGCAACTTCAGCCTCGAAAGGACGAAGGAGGTGATCGATTTGAACTACACCATGAGGACCAGGCTTCCGGAAATGTTCGCGGACCGAGACCTGAAGCGAGACTGGCTGCAGAAAGCCATGGCAAATATGTAAATCTTAGGCGAATTCGATAATCCTGATTTATAATATTTTAAACCTCTCTATCTCAGGAATGTAACATTCATGCCGAACAGAGACAAACACGGTAACGTGGTTGTTTTATACCAAATAAAAAAGATGGACATATCCAACTTTAACATGGAGGAATACGCCAAATTGACTTTTATGCTCCAGGATATGAGCAACTGCATGCTCGGATCGGCTCCTGGATACGTTTTCATCCAGGACCTTCAAAATTTAACCTTCTCAGAAATACTTCAGTGTCCTATATCATCAACGTCCAATATGTTAAAATTCACTCAGGTCAGTATTAAAAAAATATATATATAGATATAAAGGTAAAAAGGTTTTAATAAAACTTAAGACTCTAACTTAAAAAGACCACAATAATCAGGCATAGTAGAGGGCATTGTTTCTTGTGGACTCTTAACAATTTATTGACCACATTCAATTTCATTTTTTACAAGGTGCATTTTTCGGCTCAATTGTCTAATTTCGTACGTGAATTTTTTGAAAAAAGAATTGACCCACTTAGCCCATCGATTATTAACGAGGCTTTCCGCATTGCAAATGAATAAAGGCCTTTTTCAGTTGTACGAGTTAACCGTTTCGTATTAATAAACAAATTACATTAATTAGTCATTAATTTACATTATTTGTGTTCTAGGAGGCGTCTAATTGTGTCATAAAGGGTCTCCATTTCATCAACGGTGGCATGGTGATTGAGAAATTGTTCGCGCTGATGAACCCATTTCTCAAACCAGACGTTAAGAAATTGGTAACGTTAATTTTTATGTTTATTGCTGATTTATATACATATTTTTTCAATTTTAGTAAGTCAATAAAATCACTCCAAAGTTTTACAGAATATTGGGAAATTAGAAAACAAACATTCACATGATTTCAATTAATTAATCTTTATGTAAGGTATGAAAAAGTCACGAACGGGATTCGAACCCACGACCTTCGGCTAAATAAGTAAGGCTCTACCCACTTGAGCTATCGTGACACTGACTTTTTTATCTCAACCAATACCTTACACAAAAATTAATTAATTGAAATAGTTATTTGGTCAATCGGACCACGAACTATAATGTATTTAATAAGTAAAATGAAGTATATCTTCACTAAAGCTCTCTGTGGCCATTTCATTTGTCGCCGAGAATCGAATAGATTACACAACATTTGAAAAATAACAAAAAGGAGGGAAAATTCGAAAGCTGGGTTAAGATGGTAAGTTGGTGTCCGAGTGAATCGAAGTCACGATAGCTGAAGTGGTAGAGCAGAGCGGCGTATTTAGCCGAAGGTCGTGGGTTCGAATCCCGGTCGTGACACTGACTTTTTTATCTCAACCAATCTTACATAAAGTACAATTAGTGTTAAATGTCAGGATTTGTTGATATTCAGGCGATTTCCTTATTTCTCCATTTTATATTTTAACAGACAAATGTTTACAATTAGTTTTTTTAGTTAGCTATCTTGACTTCGATCTACTCGGACACCAACTTCCCATCTCACCCACCTTTCTAATTTTCCCTCCTTTTTACCATTTTTCAAATTCATGTAATCAGGATTCGATTTTCGGTGAAGTGGCCACGGAGAGCTTTAGTGAAGATATACTTCGTTTTATTTATTAAGTTAATTATTGCTTACTAGTCATGACACTAACTTTTTCATTTCAACCAATAACTTACATAAAGATTAATTAATTGAAAGAAGTTATTTGGTCAATCGGACCACGAAATATAATGGATTCACACGAATGTTGTTTTTCTTTGTCTTTTTTGTGGGTCTTGTTATGTAAAGATGTTTTAAAATAAAATTTACGATTTTTAAATAGAGTATTTTTTATTTCTGCACATTATTCTTTTTAAAAAACTTAATATATTTTGTAATTAATAAACGAAATGTCGTAACCTTGTGGACATAATTTAAAAACACCTTCACATAATAAGGCATAAACAAAATAAAAATAAAACCATCCATAAAAGGAAAACGAAGGAAAGATGATTTTTGCTGTATGTAAATTGAAGTACTAAATGTTGTATAATCAACGTGTAAATATTTTTTTTCAGATCTTTGTACATTCAACTGTTGATAGTATGGTTGAAGCAGTCGGCAAAGAGGTAGTGCCATCTGACTATGGCGGTACCGGGCCGTCTTGGAAAGAACTTAACGGTAAATGGCATCCATTATACATATAAGTTTTGTAAACCGATTTGCGTGAATTCTGTGATGTTAAGGATAATAAATCCGTTTATAGAACGGAAAAATTTATAACAGTGATATGAGAGATCACTCGAATCCTTTCGGTTTACCACGTTGGTGGATAATAAAAGGGGGTATTTTTAGCCTTAAGACTAAAGTGATTTCAAGTGTTTCGGATCTGAATTTAGTAAAATTAACGCAATTTTTTTTTTGAATTTAGAAAAGACGATACAAGATCTCAACGAGCACCAGCAGTATTTTTTCGAAGAGATGAAGCAGAGGGTGGTCGAAAAGAAGAGGACAGCTAACGAGTTGAAGGAATACGGGATTCAAGGGTCGTTCAAGAAGCTAGAATTAGACTGATCTGTTATTAATAATTACTGTGTTATAAAATATAAACTGTGGTTTCCAAACATCCTCCTTTCACTTGACGTCCAGATTTCAAAATTAAACACGACCCACAGAAAGGGAAATGCAAGTTAAAAAAAATATTCGGTGCGTGAAATTAGTTTCTTCGTTTCGCAAGGCAACACTCTGTGAAGATAGCATGGCGATTCTTTATGTAATTTATTTTGTTTATTGTTAACCGAAAGTAGAGCAGACGTCGAGACCTTTTCGGCAGATCCATGCTCACGAAAAGTCGATTCTACGTGACATTTACAACTTACTGCTTAGATTTTCAAAAAAGTCCTCCTAGTTGAAAAAAACCCTGCGTGGCCAATACGTATAGTTGTTAATTAAAAAATTACTTTTAACTGAATATAATAGTCATATTTTAAATGAGACCACAGAAACAGAACAAAATTGTATAAAAATTGGTTATGTATTATTTATATATGGAAAATGAATAAAAAATAAAAAACAACAGTACATTATTAATGAGATTATCAATGTTTGTTTATACAGGTGTTCGCCTACTCGTGTTACAAACTTAGCCATTAGATTCTACATTCAAAACGGAACCAAAAAGTACTAATCAACTATGGTTCGAATGTCTACAGTTTCGGAGTTATTCCACTTTTTCTGATTTTTTCAGATTTCACGACCTTGCTTCAAATAAGCCATAACTCCAAAACTAAAAGGTTTTGGTCAAATCCGCTGATGCCATTAAAACTGCGTTTTATTTCCAATAAGATGTGATAAATACTAAACTTGTAAACGTTCGTGAAATAAGCGAGACTTAAAATTTTTTTGTTTTTCAAAGTTGAAAAACTTACTATGGTAATTCTGAACTACTATTTCCAAACCTATAGACCAGGAAATTTCAGAAAACGTACTCCATTTAATATCCTTTTTAGTGGTGCAATTGCTTTTTTAATTACTTTTTCCAAAGATGAAGAAATTGATGAAGGAAAGGAAAAGCCGTGGTTGAAGGATTGGTAAGGTGGAAAGATTAAAAATAATCTATTATATTTAGTGGTCTATTGACCAAATTACTTCTTTCAATTAATTAACCTTTTTATGTAAGGTTTTGGTTGAAATGAAAAAGTTAGTGTCACGAGAGGGATTCGAACCCACGACCTTCGGCTCAATACGCGGCTACTCTAACTACTTGAGCTATCGTGACTTCAATCCTCTTGGACACCAACTACTCATCTCAACCTAACCTTTCGAAATAATAATAATAAAAAATAAAAACTTAAGGAAATTTTGAATGAATTTATTACAAGTTTTTTTCAATTTTGATTCGAAATGCTCTCCACCCTCCGCAATGTATTTTCGACGCGCTGTTGTCGCATTAAACCCGCAAAACTCATACATAAACTGTATATCAGCGTATACTTCATTAGAAAAAGTAGCCATAGTGTTAACAAGATATCACATATATAACTAAAAACGTTTTGAATCTTAAAACTCTTTTATTCTGGAGAATAATAATACTATAATCATTCGGAAATCGTGAGATGCGGTCTGGTGAGATGTAAGTTTCAGAAAAAAATCTTTATCGTGCCAACGTTTCGATCTTTATTGAGATCATCTTCAGGGCTTGGGATTTACAAACATTGTTTACATTTAACAAATACATTTAGGATGTGGAAAAGTGAATTTATACAATGCAAAATATATTTTTTATATTCAATCAAAGTATTTCTACTCACTCAGTGTTTGTTTTCTGCTTAATTGTGCCATTCTCAGTCTCACTGGCACTCTCAACACGACACGCAAGAATGGCAATATAAAAAATATTTTTTGCATTCAAAATTCACTTTTTTCCACATCTTACATGTATTTGCTAAATTTAAACAATGTTTGTAAATCCCAGGGCCTGAAGATGATCTCAATAAAGATCGAAACGTTGGCACGATAAAGAAAATGTTTTTCTGAACCCTACATCACACCAGAACGCATCTCACGATTTCTGAATAATCATCGACTAACGATCACTAACCACCACACAAAATACTATAATTCTTGAATCAAAGTTGCAGGCGTGTTGGTAAATAAGTGAACACTTGCACTATATCGGTTTCGAACCCAAATTTTAAAAAAAAGTTTAATAAATTAATTCAAATATCCTTGAGTTTTTTTTTAAATTTTCCACCTTACCCTCAGCGACGGTTTTTCCTTTCCTTCCTCAATTTCTTCATCTTTTAAAAATGTAATTTCAAAAGAAATTACACCACTAAAAAGGATATTAAATGAGTATGTTTTCTGAAATTTGTTGGTCTCTAGGTTTGGCAATAGTAGTTTAGAATCACCATAGTAAGTTTTCAACTTTGAAAAAAAAAAAATTTTCCCAAAGTTCTCGCTACTAAAACGCTTATTTCACGAAAGTTTACAAGTTTACTATTGATCACATCTTATTGGAAATACAACGTAGTTTTCAATGGTATCAACGGATTTGTCCAAAACCTTGTAGTTTTGGAGTTATCAGTGTTTATTTGAAGCAAGGTCGTGAAATTTTAAAAAATCAAGTGGGATAAATCCGAAACTGTAGACATTCGAACCATAGTTAATTAGGACTTTTTGGTTCCATTTTGAATGTAGAATCTACTGGCAAAGTTTGTCACACGAGTAGCCGAACACCCTGTATAAAAGATAAGATAGTTTGAAGTAAAACTTTAAATTGGGATATAATCCCAACAGAATATGAGAAACGCCCTTCAAAGCATTGATCTTGCTAATGTTCTTTCCGCCGGTGATTAAGAAAAAAATTCCGTTTTCCATACAATAAATTCCATAATGTTTAATCTGGATACGATCTATTTGTAATAGGTCATAACGCGCGCGCCTGCGTCTGTTTTGGTGGTGGTACTCCCTCTCTTTGGGAACCGATTCCAGCTCAGCGTTGGTGGAACGTGGAATACAGGAGTGCTGCATTTGCGGAGGTCAGTATGTCGGGAGTTGCGCAGAATGGGCCACGTCTCGTGCTCTGCTCCGAGAGATACACTGTCCTCATACTGATTCGATAGCTTTTTTCTTGTTTGTCTATCGAGAGAAAAAAAATAATCCCGCCAGAGGTAAAAAAAAACTCACGATATTAATAGCAAATAAATCATTGTAAAAGGCACACAGGCACTTTATTGAAAGTTTCTTCTAGAACCGGAAATCCATGGCCTTATTTATTGGAATGCTTTCCATCAGTAACGGTAAAAACGTAGCAAAAACATTCTTGCATTCTTGAATAGCTAGCTCACTACAGTTAATTAATTGGGCAGATAAGGGTTTTAAGAGAGTCTCTTTCTAATCAGATAAAAATGCAATTTAATATCGTAATGCAAAAATTAGCGGTAACAGGAAATGGCCTACAATGGCGTTTTTCTTTCCAGAAACAAATCTTTTCTTGTCACACTCATAACAAATGAATCCTATTCATTTTGAAAATCTGTTTTTGAGGGAAAAGAGACCTTGAAAATATTGTTCGGTCTCCTTCAATAAACTCAGTGATTATAGTTTAAAATCAACTGTAATTTTACTAATTTTTTTTAACCGTAATTAAAAAAAAACTATTTCAATTCAAAAATCAAATTTCATTGTGTTTAATAAAAAAAAATTAATAAACGCTTTCAAGATAAAACAAAACCAGAAATTTAACAATACACAATATATTAAACCACACAGGCAATAGTTCTTTAAATAGCAAAAATCTTTAAATCGTCTTTCCACCTAGTTATATACAATACATAAAACATTAAGGGAGATAAACAGCTAAGTAGAGCGTAGGAAAGATACCTAATTGGGTGTTCAGGCATCAAAATGTGTCATGCAATAGTTAATTTTTAATAAAATTATGCCATGCAATAGTCAATCTTTATAAAAAATTAACAAATTTCCCAGGTTGAAAGAAAAAAAGATAGTCTCTTCTAACGGTAGAGGTATTTAAATTAGGCCTGTATCGTAAGAGTGTTGAGATTATTTCATTTTTAAAAATAATCTTATAAATCATAGAAAGTTAGTATTATTGCATATTTTGCGGATAATTTTTAGCATTTTAATAGGGAGGGACCGAGAGGGAAAAGGCAATAAACATAACTGGTTTTCTGCTAAAAAGAAGCAACATACGTAAAGTAAAGGAAAACTCCCAAGGACCTATCCGGGAAAAAAACAACTCATAGTTCATTAAATGTTATTACTCAATGTTTGTTTCCATTGTTATGTAACAAATTAAAAAAAAACTTGTGTATGATAATAAATAATTATTTTGTTTTTTTAGTTTTTCTTCTAATAACTTTCTATATAAGTTTTTTTTTTTTGGGGGGGGGAGGCCTCACCGTAGGTATTAGCCATCAGCCAGATATATATAATATAGTTAAAAAGAAAGCAGTTTACTTCATTTTGTAAAGGCTTTTTACATTATTTATTAAATTGATGATCTAATAGCTTATATATAGTACTTACAATTTTTGTGCGTGTAATAAACAAAGGAAATAAATTAAAAATATGTAAAAAATTAATACATGCAATGATATTTATATTATGTTATTTATATGTTGTTTTAGCATATACTACAGGTATTACATTTTAGCACTATACAACTACATTCGATTCTTTTGCAGACAAATAACAATTTTTTAAACAGTTTTTCCTAGGATGTTTTAAACCGTGCCATGATTCAGGTTTTAACTGTCCTTGCAGAAGGAGAAGAACTGACCAATAACTGGAATTGTGGCACGGTTGTAAACATAGTTAAACCGTAAAAAAACATGTCTGAAGAAAAAAATAATAATACCTCAGCACTAATAAAATAATACCTCAGTGTAAAATTAAACAAAATGTTATCTTAAGCAGTATAAACAATTTTATGCAAAGAGAGTTGAGGATCGGATAAATTCTATGCACTATCAAGCTCTCATGTTTGGTTCTCTGAGACCCTAACTCCTCATCTCAACTTATTAATTTAAATTCCCCTTTTTTTGCTAATGTATGAACGGTTTGTGATGAATTTTTCACAAGCAAGACTAAAAATACTATTGTTAAAATAATGTATTAAGACTATTTGATACCTAAATAGCTCCCTGACTTTGTTCACCTTATCCAATACGTTAATTCAAGAAAACGGGATTCCTCAGTGTTCAGTTCTGAGTGTCACTTTATTTGCAATTGCGGTCAATGGTCTGGTTGATAATATAGATGATCGTATAGTCAGGCCTTAGTATGACAATGATCTTTGCTTTTACTTGTCTGGAAAAAATCTCCAAAATGTGGGAAGGACTTTACAAAACGTCATTGACACATTGTCAAGAAAAGTAGACGATGTGGGTTTCAAATTCTCTTTGTCCAAAATGGTATTTGTACACTTTTGTAGACTAATTATTTGCAACTTTAGTACCAGATCAAGAACTTTAAATATTTCTCTCATTTTCATTATATAATGATTAATTTATTAAGATTTATTATTTGTTGCATATATTCAGTTAAAAGTGTGTCTCATTTAATGCATATAGCTTGATATTTAAATAATTACATCATTTGTTAATATATTCTACCTCTTTGAGGTACAGTACATATATTTTTATGAAATTAATATCATTAATATTTCAGGTATAATGAACATTATATAATTATAATGATTGATTAATTAATTGTAATAACAAAGTGATACTGAATTTTTTTTTAACTCTAAATTTATTAAGAATGAATTTTATTTGAAAACATATGAATCTAAGGGAAAATAAACAAATTGTGCAAACCTGTAAGCAAAGGAAAGGCACAAGCTGGTGAAATAATAACGGTTAAAAAGAAAAATGAATTTTTCTCGCGACAGAGAGAATTTTTACCAGATTATGAAACGGTATCGATCTATTTCAGGTTTTTTCTAAAAAGACGACAAGATGGCACCGCCTTGGAAAATCAGCGCAGAGGAGGAGCTTGAGAAAAATCCCAAGTTGAAACGTGAAGACCTAATGGAAATAAAGCGGTGGATCAAGGAGCAACCACATCTTGCATTGACACCCATTGAAGGTAGATATTTTTGATTTTTGCTTTTGTAAAGTAACTACCAACTTCAGGTTATGTTTCAACATTATAGTCAAACAATTAAAGCTTATTCAAGTTATGGTAGACATAAAGAAATGACCATAGTATAAAAATGATTGGCGTAACAAGGGTTTGTTTTATAGATGAGATAATTTTGCACTTCTTACACGCCACATTCTACAATGTAGAAGCAGCCAAAAAAACATTAGACTACTTCTATTATTACAAGGTGACAATGCCAGACTTCTTTTCCGGTTGGGATCCTTTACAACCTGATATACAAGAAATGATAAATGAAGTCTTGTAAGCAAAACATGTTTAAATGAGTGATAGATGATTTTTAAATGTGAATATTTTAGAATTGCAGCACCACTGCCGATACCGAATAATGAAGGTTTAAGGATGATAATATGCAAGTTGGATGATAATTCGAAAAAGTTTAATTATCCATTGTGCGTAAAATGGCTTTTAATGACATCAATGCATGCAATATGGAAACTGGGTATCCAACCAGGATTTATTCTGGTTTATGATGCTGCTGGTTTTAGTCTATCGCATTGCTTTAAATGTTCTTTAAGCCAAGCGAAAAATTACATCGATTTTGGAAAGGTATTTGAATATGGTTTTTGTGTACGGGTGTTTACTGATATTCTCTTTTTTCAGAACGCTGCTCCTATGAGAGTAGTAAAAGTTGTATTTATTAATACAAGTCCAGTCGTAGAAAAAATGTTGACATTGGTGAAGCCTTTTTTGAACAAGGACTTGATAAACATGGTAAGACTTTAATGTCCAATCTTCAAAAGTGCAATTACATGTTTCTTTTTTTCTTAGATGTCATTTCACTCAAAACCAGACACATTTTTCAAAGATTTGCCCAAAGAGAATGTACCAGAGGATTACGGAGGGACTTTAGCACCGCTGAGTTCTTTACATCGTAAGTGAAATCGGATTGACACGATACATAATTAAAAACTTTTTCAAACAAATATATTTTAGGAAAATACGTGGAGGAAGTGACTGAAAACAGAGACTGGTTGATGAAAGAGGAAAAAATCAAATGTGATAAAAGCAAAAGAGGCAGCCCCAAGAAAGAAAAACAGAAAGAAAAGGTCGAGAGTTCTCTTAAAGGCTTGGAAATAGATTAGATAATTAAATGTAAAAAAAAGACAATAACTCTATAATCAAAAGAGACTGGATATAGTGCATTATATAAATAAAAGTATAGGGGTGGTCTTCATTAGAGTATTGTCTTAACACAATTTTGGAGAAGGTTGCATTGAACATTCCTACAGAATAATTAGGTAAACTGCAAAATGACCTTCACAGCCTTAAAATATTAATCAGGGTATTCAATGATAAATTATTTAATATAAAATAAAACACAAATAAACAGACTGTTTATTTTAATTGAACTTACCCTTAAATTGAAATAACTTAAGCTTCCAATGTGGGGGCTCTAAATGTGTGATCATAAATTTTAATGACACTTATTTTGGTGATACTAGGTTGAAAAATATTAGACACTGTCTCAACAATGGGCACTATGAGCCGATAAAAAATATTTTAAGTAATTAATTTTTTTTTCAATGTCTACATATTTTTACATATAATGATATACAGGATCATACCCCTAATCATGATTAAAACATACAAAAAGTTACAAAACCAAAAGTGGCTTTGAGTAAAATTGGTAAAAAAATAAGTCAATTGTTGGAAAGCAGATTGTTAAGATAAAAGGATAAAATAAACAAAAATGCCTCAAACATTTCATTTTATATGTTTGCTTCTAATTTGTTTACAGAGTTAAGTTTCCAGTAATTCGTGGAGTTATTGCATTTTGTTTTTGATTTTCTCTGTAAATAAATTAGAACTGGATATAATAAAACGTTTGAGGAGTTTTTTTTTATATTCCATCCTTATTTCTCATGGCATAAAATTTAAACATTGTTGACACAGCCTGGAAGTAGCAAATATTCTTTTTTTTTTTTCAATGAATGAAACAATGTTGAAAAATAAATAAAACACAGAAGAGTTATGCATTTTTAAGTGAATGACCAGACATTGATGAGAAAAAAATTGACTGTGGCAAATCCAGCTAAAAATGTCTATTTGAAAATTTGTAAAAAATATAATAAAACTTGAAATATATTTAGAAAATGGCAGGAAAAAAAAATCGGTTCGTAAGGCCCATTGGCGAGAATGCTTGGACAAGTGTCTAACATATTTATCGATCTAGTAGCATAAAAACAAATTAAGTTGAAACTAATGATCCCATGTTTGTAGCCTCCCCTTGTAAGTAAAATCTAATGTTAAAAATCAAAACAAATTTTAATTTAAAAATTAAAAAGGGTTCTTATATTGTTATTTTTTAAGGCATTGGGTTTTCTAAATAATGCTAAGAGATAAGAGAAGTTAGGAGGAGGGCAACTAGAAGTCAAAATAATTTCTGTTAGAGACAGATTTACTGGTGGACAATACCATATTAGAAGTAGAAATATATGCACAGTGTACTAAATGAGAAATGCGGTTTAAAAATTCAAATTAAAACTTATTTGGCTAATATTACTTATTTTTATCATCAATAAAGAGAAAATGTTCGATGTGTTAGTAATAATCTAAGTTGCAATAAAAATTAAAAAAAAGGAAAAAACAAACTTACTAGAATTATCATCGTTTGTGGATTCTATAACTTTGTTGGGTAGTTTTGACAATACTTCAAGAGCTAAGGCAGGACATCCAGCTTTAAAATGAGCGTGAGCAGTTGTGAAGTAAAGCTGTCTTTCAAGAGGTGTAATTGAATCTTCAACTAAAAGCTGAAAATTTAAAACAAAATTGTATAGAATTTTTTCATTTTAAAAAATTAAAAGACTACCGCTTACTTGTCTATCACTCTGAGTTGATTTAGCCTCTGACCCATACGTGAATCCGGCTAAGACAACGGTATGATTTTTTCTGTCCTGGTAGGTGGTAGCAAGGGTGTGCCTTATTAAAAGGGGATGGGTTCGTAGATAGACATAAAAATTGAATACATTTGGGTTAGCTGAAACAACATATTTTTTTAGATAAAAAACAAGGATATAATTTAAATAAACATACCAGTAGTCCCTTCAGGTCTATCTTCATCTTGATATTGTGAGTGCATTGTTCCTACATTGGTTTGTAACAGAGTATTTAAAGATCCTGTTGGATCTTTGAGTATCCAAAGTGCCATTGATCTCAAAAATGGATCAGGGTGAACTTTAGACATATCCTGATTCTCGCCATTCATGTCACAGCCAAGTATTTCCTGAAAATAAAGTTATGAGTTAATTAAAAATAAAAAGAAGAAAAGAGTAGAAGTAATTATAACTGGGTAATGAACCTCAAATAGCAGTCGTTTTAAATTAGGAGGAGTTGGATCCATTTCACCTTCGTAGAGCTTAGAAATAACCATGGCTAACTGGAGGTCATCGAGTTTGTTCAAACAGACCTAAAAAACCAAATATAAATAGTTGGAATAACAGCATCAATATATTTCAAATCAGACCTCTATGGCATCTCTGATAGCACCAGCGAGCAAGAAAAATGCAGCAGCGTGCTCAAATCGTTGCTTCCCCAGCAGAGCGAATGCATTTTTCAATGCTGCTTTTCTCCAACGGTCTTTTGTAAAATCATTGGAGAAGAACTGCGTCATCCTTTCATCCCGTTTTGAACGGAAAAGGGCCCAAACAAGAGATTTCTTTTTCATAGCCAAATAAAATATTGCAGCGTCCAAAGGATCTTCATTTTGTTTATATGCTGCTTTGGCAACCTAAACAAAAAAAAACAAATAATTATTTTTGTTTTAAACTAGCACACCAGTAACCAACTGACCCTCTCTATACAGGTTTTTAGAAGTGTATGGTTTCGCAACCACCACCCAAGACCTAATTCCTTTAGAATTAGCCACTTTGGTGAACCCTTTGCATAACAGGGAATCAAAGATAGGAGCTCTTCTTCGCTCTCAGAATGGAATGCCCATACAACATTGTTACTAGAGACACCTTGTTTTTGAAACTGTGCTCTCTGTGCTATTGGTAAACACCGAAGTAAATAATTGTAATGTTTCATCGCCAGGAGAAATCTCAGCCCACAATCATCCAATGAATCTGCAAATTAAAAGCTACAGTACTTACAAATTAATATTGTAGTGATCTTTTACCAGTGGACTGAACTTGCCCCTCTGGGACACCAGTAAGATTTTCTTTTGCAATTGCAGTCTTAGCAGCATCGATTGCAAATCTCTCAGCAAAATCGGTGTTACAAGTCGATACTGTATCTGCCAGGGCGAGGAGGTGCATTTGGTCAAGACTGGAAAGTCCTGGTAAGTGCGTATGTGTCAAAAGTCTTGAGAGCAAACGACCCTGAAACAAATATTAAAATTTTTGAGTTCAAACTCAAGGGGTTAATAATTAAATTAACCAACAAGTCACCTATATTTGCAGGATTTTTAATAAGACGAAGTTTTAAAAATTTTAAATGTTTTTATTTTTCTTATTTTTAGGACTTTTTAATCTGATTAAAGAAATTTTCTAATATACGACTTTTTGGCATACTGTGCCATTTTTAAGTATATGGTTTACTTCTTTAGGGTTATAATAAGAAAACAATTTAAAAAATATGTAAAAAAAACATGACCTAAATGGCAACATGGCTGGCTTGCTTATCAAACTTCTCAACTTTGAAAATGTTTTTATTTCCGAGATTTTCCTCCAACCAAATGCTTAAAGTTTGGGATTTATTTTGAATTAGGGAATTTTTTTTACTGACAGGAGCACTAGACGGAACACTATCTCTGATTGATTTTTTTAAATTCCATTTTTTATAAAATGCACTATGACACAACACATTGATGTTGAAAAGTCATCTAATTTTTTCATGAGTGACATTACAATTTTCTTCTGTTTTGGTAAAGTGCTATTATTTTCACATAGGTATTGCTCAGAGAAAATCAAGATGAAAAAAAAAGAAGAAAAACAGTCAGCAAAACATATTGGAATTTTTGGAAATTTCAATTTAAAAAATGCTATACATTTTATATTATCTTATTAAATTTTATTTTATTTTTCCCCTGCGAATAACCAACAATGAGGGGTTACTGTACACAAATGTTCTATTCCTACTTAACTTTACATTTAAAGAAATCTTTTTTACTGTCTCAAGGCCTAAATGACCATAAGGGTTGCTGCCTTTTATAAATAAAAAAAATAAAAAAAATCTTACTTGTCTTGGGCCAAAATGAGATAAGCTGCTTGTCATCTCGACATTAGTTGATGGCCTACGATCTCCTCGCATCACAGCATCATCATCATCATCGGCTAAAATATCATCAAGTTGCTCATCCTGTAGACCTCCATCAGCATCAAAAAGTTCATTATAATGCTGGAAAATAAAAATAATACTTAATGCTATTTAAATTTTATTATAGTTATTTTTTATTACAGGGTTGTCATCAGTTCCTTGTTTTTTAATAGTTTCTTTATCAGCAGCTAGCAACGTCCAGAGGGGAAGAGGTGGAATGGACGTAATTTCTGCATAATCTAGAGTTAGCTCTTCAGGAATTGCAGTAGTGGATCCTCTCTGTTCAAGGGGACTAGTTGTGCCTACATTTTTAATTAAGTTACTGACATGCTTTATATTTTTATTAATCTAGTTTATCATTTTACCTGCACCATAACTAACAGATAATGTTCTGGAACGTGACCAACCCCTTTGTTTGGTCATAGTTTCCTCATCAGACATTGAACAAACTACTGTTCCTTGTTGAACCGAACAAGTACCCGAAATACACCTAAAAAGTTATTAACATGTTTTCAATTTTTATGCAAAAACAGTTGAGAAGAAAAATTAGTGTCATGAGTGGGACACTAATTTTTTTCAACCTTATTTGCATAAAAATTGGGAAAAAATAAAAAATGATAATTAATAAAATAATGATTAACATGTTTTGATAACATTTTCCAAAATTACAATAAAAAGGAGAATTGATACATTACCTTACTAAATGAGCAAGGATTGCTTTTACCCATCTGATTTTTCCAGAATTTAAAAGCTCCATAAGTTGTTTAGGGTGGTATTGCGGAAGAACTGGGCAAGCAATTCTTGATGCTTCAAAAAGTCCATAGTCAGGCATGTAGGAATCCATGTTGCCATTGTTCTCTTGTGCTGCTTGGCCTATAAATTTAAGGAAATTTTAATTTATATATTTTTTAAACAAAATAAAATTACCATTTGTTTTCTTCTTCTTGCTCTCAACAGAAAGCATAGTGAGATTGATTGAGCTGACTCTGGATAAATGCGGCATAGAGCTTACATTTGCCAATCGTCTTTGTGATGAATCCTTCAAAATTTAACATTGTAATGAAACAGATTGAAAATTTGAAATTTTATGTGTACAACCTGTGCAAGATTTCTCAAATCTTCATCCCGAAGATTCCGCGTGTCCTGAAGCTCCTCGGATTCTTGATAAGGAAGTTTATACCCATTTCCAATAAATTGTTTTGTACGGACTAAAATTTCAAAATGTAAATAAATGTAAGACATAATTGATTAATGCTAAATTTGTTTAATTACATCTGTCTGATTTCCATTGGGAGTAGACGTGCATTTCACTGTCCATCCCTACTACAAGAATACCATCTCTGACCCAGGAAATCTGCATGGGTAGAGGCGGCAATCCGTCTGCTGTGTGTAAGTCAATTTTTCTTAGCTTCATCCATCTGATACATTATATAATATAAAATTTTAAAAGTACTAATTAAAAATACCACTCAATTAATCTTTATACCTTATTTCATCTACAAAATTTGGAGCAGCCAATGAAGAGGCTTTTCTCAGAATGGGTCTAGTGTTTGAAGTCTGAGATTCTCTCATCGCTTTCATATTTGCTTGGGCTATATCACTTGAAACGGGTGTGAACAGCATTACCTAAAATAATAGAAAATCCACATTTTGAAACAGATTATTAATAAAATTAATACTTGGGCTGTTCATGTTATTTCAATGATAACAACTCTTATAGCAATTTTTTATTATTTAATTTCATTAATCAAATTAAATATAATGATGAACATAGGCATAAAGTTCTATACAACAAAAGTAAAGTTAAGTAAAGTACTACTCCTTCTTGGATGTTGGAGGTAGTTTAGATAGGATTAGAGTTAGAGGACAAAATTGCGGTATCGTCGACTTATGTGGTAATGATGGTATTAGGGTGTATAGGTGGCTAGGAGTACAAATGCTAAAGTAAAGGACCAAGAATGCTCCCTTGTGGGACTCCAGCTTGTATCGGTCTGATTTCCGATAACTCGTTGTCACACCTCACTCTGAAGGAGCGGTCTGTAGGTAGTACTGCTAGACCCTATCAAAAGGTCGGATGTTCTCTAGAGCGGAGGAAATGATGTCAATAACTCTGAAACCTTGTATCACAGAACGATGTGGACAAAAGCCGAATTTCTGAGAGCAAATTATTTTATGAGTATCTAGGATGGGGATTAATCACTTTAAAAGGAGACTTTCGAGGATTCTGGACATTGCAGGAAGAATGCTGAGAATAACGATGGAATATTTTTTTAATGCTTTTATTGGACTTCCACAAAAATGAATTGTTCAAGTACGAGTAAATTTATGACGAATAGATAGTTGAAAAAAATATAATATTTTGAATATCTGCGGAAAGGTTGAGAATCAGACCATATTTCATACAAACATATTTGTTGCATTTGAAGTGTGAAATTAATTGACAAATTTTATTAGGTTTTGTGGTCCGCTTGACCAATTAATATCTTTCAATTAATTAAGGTTTTTAGCTGAGGTAAAAAAGTCAGTGTCACGAGCGGGATTCGAACCCACGATCTTCGGCTAGATACGCCGCTGCTCTACCACTTGAGGTCACGATAGCTCGGTGTATCTAGCCAAAGATCGTGGATTCGAATCCCGCTCGTGACACTGACTTTTTTATCTCAACTAAAAACCTTAATTAATTAATTGGCAAAATCTGTGTCGTGCTTAGCCTGATATATTTTTTTTTAAACTTACTTTTTTGTAACACTGACTAATATAATTACATACAAGAGAGCTTAACGACCAACTATCCAGATGAGGGATCAAACAACTTTACAATACACTTTTCATACCATTGTGAATTGAAAAGCCATGGGCTCTGCCAGGATTCGAACTCAGAACAGTGGCAAATATGAGTTGAACTCTTTAACCACTCAGCCAAGCAGTGCAATACAACTATCAACTTTAACGTTCTTCCCAAAAGATGCCGATGGCTGCAATGGTTGAAGTGTTGACATTGTAATTAATAACTAAAATGCCTCTGGTTCAAATTGGAAGATTGAGATTGAGCCAATTTGAACCAAACATTCTTCCAAATGGGATCTTTTCTCAAAAATACTGAAACCTAGGATTGATATTTGCAAATCCCTGTATTTTCTAACCAATTGCACTTGGTTAATTTGAGTATAATAGAGTAAATTAAAATCTGTAGGAAAAATGAGGTCTTGCTCATAGCAATATTTTCTTTACCATTGGGGTTTTAATTAATTTAAACTTAAATTTCACGAAAAACTTTTAACTGGTTTACTTTATTAGGAGAGAAATTATTCACCTTACTGCCAACTCCTACAGTTAGAATATGAGATCCATCTTCTTTTGAAACCCAGTCCAATTGGACTAAATGTTTTTGTGTAAGCGGACATGTATTTCCATTTTCTATTATCGATTTCCGTAGAGACTGTAAAGTGCTAAAACTAGGCACTGCCAGTAACCCTAGAAAAAATTTAAAAGTTAAAACCTATCAAAATATCAATTTATATCGACAAAACATAATAACACAAATGATAAAAGACAAGCCTTCAGTTAAAATAAAAAGTGAAAAAAAAAAGTGTGATATAGAAATTTTAGGTCAGTAGATTGCACATAGTGTTTGAGGACTGAGTGATCTATGACAGAACAGTGCAAACACCAATATTATTGTACCTATTGTAGTCAAATATGTCATTGATTTGAAGTTACTAACTGAAGAAGGATTCACTGCAACAATTGTACATAATTATACATTCATAAATTGCGAATGTTCTATATTTTTAAGGAGAGTTCCACATTAAATAGGAAAGTTGAAAAATAGGCTGACCAGTAAATGTAAATTTTTTTTAGACAGACTGCTATAATTGTAAGATTATATTTAATGTAAATATTATTACCTGCTCCAGTTTTCACAAGGTTATTATCATTGGAGCTGTTGATATCTCCATTGCGAAGAGGAGATCTTGAATCTAATTCTTCAGAAGAGATTGCTTTTATGAAGTTGTTTTGTAGCCGCTGTTTTTTAGTGAAGAATGAATGATCATATAAGTAACTAAGATCAAGACTCGGGTCTATCTGTATTCTGGGTAAATGGATGTTTTTCAGATAAATTGTATCTTCTAATATCCATTCCGATCCTAAGAAAAATACACATTATTATTATGAGATAAAATACTATTCAAATTAAAAAAAAAAAAAATTACCTCCTGTACTTTCGCATTCATAAATAGCTACACATAGATTGACAAATCTAGATTCAGGGTCTTTTCTCGAAGGTCTCGTAAAAGATTTTCCATATTTATAGGCACATGCTATTCGCCCACTATAAGCCGCACTTATATTCAGCGGTTGACCTAATACAAAGCATAATTTTTAATCTCCACATGTAAAACAATAAAATTTTCAACTATGGACAAATATTCACCAGGGATTTCAATAATAGATTCTTTATCCTTTCTAAGCATTTCCCATTCTGTCCAACGGTAGCTCGTTTTGGCTTTAGTACCTTCTTGATACTTATTAACATTGCACTTCCAAAACCTGCATAACACAGACAGTTATAAAAACAATAACTTGCGGCAAGATTTAGTACAAACCTAACAGTGCTGTCTGAACAAGCGGTGACTATGATATAAGGAGCAAAACAGGCTGGGTAAATCGAGGCCGAGCTCAAATGGCCACCGGCTGGAGCAGCATGAATAACATCCACACCATCTGGTAACGGCAGTTCTTGTGTACAAACCTAAAAGTTTTATTTATAGTATCGGTTCTTATTTAAAAATAATATTTTGAAATTACCTTAGTGGTAGAAATGCTGACATGAGGGGACTGAAAACCTCCAGTATTAATGTCCTCTTCGATTCCAGCTCCTTGCCGACCGGAACTTTCTATATCATCTTCATCTTGTACAAGCTGACTATCAGGAACATACATCATGCTTCCACTTAAGCCTTATAAAAAAAACAAAAAAAAAACATTATATCTAATGCAACAATATTTTTCTTTTATTAAAAAAAGAAAGAAACATATATGGATATTATGAAACCATCTTCATTAAATAATTAATTACCATCAACAGCAGAATTGTCTGGCTGTGATGCGATAATCAGTCTCCACATATGAATTGCAGTGCCTTGATTTGTACGTTCCAAGACGACCAAATAGAACGGTTCTTCAAATTCCGCTGTCTGGTGAAGGTCAACCATTGCCCCTAAATTACTTTCTAGGAGGCCTAGACCAGCTTTATCTCCTATGACTTCTCTCTCCCCAGTGATCAATTGGGACTGGAATACATGGAGCAATTGGGTATTTTGCCAATCCTGTAAAAAAAAAGATTAAATTCTTTTTTCAAAAGTATTATTTCATTTTGTTACATACATGCGTAGCATCTGATATTGCATCTAACTGTATTACACATCCTGGCCTGGCTGTTGATTGCTGGGAGACAATTTTTATACGGTCGTGCAATGAAGAATGCTTCGCTCCATCATCTGAAGATATATCAGTAGACAGACTCACAAGAGAACCCTGTGTAGAATTTTTAAATTAAAAATAAGAAAAACAAATTATACCAAGTAGTTTTTTTACCATAATGCGGCTACGCCTTTCTGATGAAGAAACCTCAGCGAGTAACGTCCTTGCATCGATAACAGCCTGATAAACCCGCAAGCTCTCACCGTCAGACGCAACAAAGCAAGCAGAAGGAGAATTCGAAAGATTTCCCAATGTTGTGCTGGTAAAAAGAACCAGTTGTTTTAAAGAACTAATGTATGTATTTATTAAACTGCTCACCTTGGAAGGAGTGTCGGGATCCAAGCGACGTTTGAAAATGCTGATATTTGGGGAGAGTTGATTCTTGCAAGCTCAGATACTCCGCCAGATTTAGACAAAGGACCAACAGCGTCTACTCTCCACAAAATCAACTCACTGCAGAAACCCTATTTACAAGAGTTAAAAAAAAGAAGAGTAAATCACAAAAGTAATGTACATTTTGAATGATGCATTGGCTACTTTTGTTTAGTACTCTATAGTTCAAAATCATGACAGAGACTTCAGTTTACGGATTGTACAAGAAACAGTTAGATATATTAAATCCAAACAAATTGTTCAATTCCATTATTTATGTTTATTATAATAATCTTACAGTTGGTGATAAAGAAGAGGACCCATTTGGTGAGTATTCTTGTCCTTCAGGCAAGTTGTGGTGAGAGGTGGTAAGAAGTAAAGGTAAGACTGGATGGCATGTGATATCATTAACTCTAAATCTATGACCTGAAGCTCTTGAAGCATGGCCTATACTGAGAACCTTGAATACAAATTCCAATTTAAATATTGTTCAATCCGAAAGATTACTGAATTTTTACCTGAGAAAACTTTGTTTTATCGGCAAAAGTAAGTTGCCAGAGATTAAGAGTTCCATTTGAGTGTTTTGTAACCATGGAGAGAGTAGGGCACGGAGGTGCAGTAAGAATATCCGATGTTGAACTCTTTGATTCCCCGTTTGTTTGTTCACCTCTGTTGTTGTTATTACTTTCTTCATTTTCGCCAGTACGATCTCCATCTTCTTCGATAACACTGGGCAAAGACGTAACACCCGTTTCTCCACAATCACTCCCAGTTGTAGCTAAATCATTTAAGATGTTACGAATATTTAGATAAAAAGAAGGAAAAAAGACTCACTTGGACCGTTTGGAGGTGAACGTGAACCAGCAGCAGTTTTAACAACATCTCTAAAAACAAGCTGTAAATGGCAGCCTGAAGTGTGATACAAGCAAATGTTATTTGACATAGCAATGGCATCACCCAAGGGAAACGCAGTCGGTATTCTTGTTGAGAATGAAACTTGAGCTTGGCGAAACGAACCTGGATGGTATTCATCCAGCCAATCCAGTACCCTTTAGACATTTTGTTCTTAGAAGTTTTAAATTTTAATATAATATTAATTTAAAAAAAAGTTTACCAGATTAAAAAACTCCCATCGATTGGATGTATTGCAAATAACAAATCAGGACTATGATGCCAATCTCTTAACAGATTTTCTATTTTAAGGTCCAAGTTATCAGCCGTATGCGCTACTGGAGGTCCAGTGTCAGTCGCCAATGAATTTATTGATGTTGCATTGCTAAAATAAATTAATTTGATTACATTTTGATTATGTGCTAACTTAAAAATTATTGTACAGTGAAATTTCTCTTAATGGGCATCCCTGTGCATAGCAGCCATGTCTCTTAAAGAACAAGTTTTGCATTCCTTGGTTAAAAAAGATGGGATTTCTATGCATTTTAAAACCATTTGACAAGGAATCTTTCCAACATACATTAAATTCCCATATACTTATAACAAAATATATGTCATTTATTCTTTTGTATTTAGTATAAACTATTTTTTTTTCTCAGCATTTTCTAATTGATTGATATGCATTTTGGAAAGTGTCATTTTCTACTTCCATATTGCAGACATAAAATGTAGGAATCCTCTTTATTGTATCTTAAATATAAATTATTTTTGGATGTGATATATTAGATGATTCTATATTTCTTGGGTTTCTTTTCAGGAACTAGACAACCATTGAACTAAATTTTAGTTTGATCATTTTTTCATCAAATTAAATTAGTTTGATGGTTGACTAGTTCCTGAAAAGAAACCCAAGAATTATAAAAATTCAACAACTAGAAAAAATTAGATGATTCTGTTTCACCTTTTTCTTCATTTTCCCTCTCTTTGGATTCTGTCTTTTGTTCACTGAACAGGGGTTGAAGGCATAAAACTTTGATTAACACAAAGTTATTGAATTCATGAAAATAGTTTGTCAGGGAGAGAGAAAATTCATTGTAACTATTTTCACAGAATACATTAGATGCACGTCCTATTTTTTCTTGATTTTAATTTTATTTTACACTTAATTTTTCTTAATTAAAATATGAAAATGTTGTTAGAAAAATGTGTTTAATCCTTCTGCCGGGGCACTGCAATGAATTAACTTTTGAGGAAAAATAATTTTTCCACTAGGACTGGGACTAAGAAAAAGAACATTACAACTGGGAAATCGCTACAAATGGGAGCATTATGTCAAAGTTTTACTGTACCACAGGCTGGAATATGTTGAAATACATTATGAAAGATCTAAGTTTAAAAATTAGATTATTTATTTTAAAAAACATTATTATTATTGTTATTATTTTTTCAGCGGGTTCGAAACAGCATTAGAGGTCATACCAACTCTTGGGGTACCGGTGTATTTGAGGAGGAAAAAAAAGCTTATTGTTATGTTAGTGGGCTGCTGGGTTTTAAAACTTAGTAATTTCTCTTTGCATATGATCTTTTGTTTTTTATATTTATGAATTCTTCTTTTTATTAAATGATCAGTCACAGAGCATGAAATGAATCATCAAATGGATATGGGTGATATGATTCATTTTTACATACACAGTTGAGGATTTGTGTTAAATAAATCACCATTTAGTACAGATTACTTAATGACAAAAAAAGTGGTTTCATGTTATTGTCATTTTTAAAAAATTGCTAAAAAACGATATTTCACAAGCATTTTAGTACAAATAAAAATTGTATAGCAACAAGAGTAAAATATTTTGCTACATATTTCTTATTTTTAATTTATTATTAACGTACCTTAAAGTCTGATGTCCACTTGAAGGAAAACTACTTTGGTGATGTTCATCGCTACCACTTTCATCTTGCGAAACCGATTTTGTGACTTTTCCACTACGCTTTTTGGAATCTAAAGTTTTTGTTTTAAAATTACAACATTGAAGACAACAAAAAGTTGAGGATTACGTACATAAAGTTTTATCATCATGTTCTGAATCGTGATGTTCTGAAGATTCAACATTGCTATTGTCAAATCCAAGGCCTTCCTCCTTTTCCACAACTTTCCGTGTTAACTCCTGTTTTAATATTTTAAAATATGAAACGATGAAAAATAAAATAATTTATAAAATCATAGTTCAATTATTTACATGAAGAATATTTTCAGCTTGCAGTGAAAAGTGCATTTCCTTGTTGTTTAACCAGTGCAGAACAAAATTTGGCTCCCTTTCTGGGTCTCCAGTGATAAGACTAGGTACTAATGGTATATCTAAAAGTAATAAAAGAAGTTAACACATCCATGCATTCAAATATAAAAATGTTAATGGACATATTTTAAAATACCAGTTTCGGCGTTTATGGAAGCTGCTAAATGGAAGTGAAGTCCAGGGATTACTCCTGTTCCATGGAAGCCATAGCTATGAAAATCATGGACGCTGTACGTTGAAGGCAATGTAGGAATCGTAGTGTTTGGCCCAAACATGCCAGACTGGCTTTGTTTAGCGTTTCGACGCAAATGAAAACAGGTCCTAAAAAAATAAAAATTAAAAATAATTCTTTATTTCAATATGACAAATGAATTATTAATTGACTTAGATTTAAATTTAATCACATTTTTTTACATTATATTTTTTCTACAACTTCAAATGATTCTTAGTATCAGAAAAAATATTTTTATAAGTATACTGTTAGAACAAATATAAAGCGTTGGTGTATGATGAAACATATATTACTTTATATTTTTCCCCATTTTTTATTTTATAAAACATTTACATTTTATCATTATATTTTAGTTAGCTTCTTTTGCATTTTATATTTATGAATTCTTCTTTTTCTTAAATGATCAGTTACAGAGCTGAAATGAATCATCAAATGGATATTGGTGGTGTAATTCATTTTTACATGCATTGTTGAGGATTTGTATTAAATAAATCACCATGTTAATACATAATATAATGAGGCGTAATATAAAAATTATTATAATAAATGAACAAAACTGCACTTTCACAGACTTCAAAATAAAAATTTAATTTAGCCTTGTTGATTTATTTCTGCAATATTCCTAACAGTAGATCTCTTCAATCCATGGGATGCTGGAAAAAGCCTATTTGTAAGTACGTTGTGTTCAAATTCAGGAAGACTGCTAAGCTTCGAATCTGAGACTCAGTACTACGTTAATGTCTTAACTGTTGCAACCACTGGCCCCTACTTATTGCCATTAGCCAGTGTATTGCAGCAATTAGTCATACTATTGGGTTGTCCGGAAAATAATGCAGGATTTTGGTATTAAACAAAAAAAAAGAAACTAGTTACTTTAAAGCAATGTTCTTTAATCAANAATATTCCGCCATCGGCCCTACAGTCTAAAAGATCACTCACTTACAACAAACAAATAAATAAATAAATTACTTATAAATAAATACACGACACAATAATAAAACACAACACAGATACACTTATTTACACAGATATTCACGTTTTATAAGTATCATGTTATATAAGGAAAAAAGAGTTATACTAATAAAGCATCACAAAACAGAATCAAGTCAAATTAAAGGAAAAAAAAAATAAAAAAAAAAAAAAATTACATATTTACTACTTTCAATGTGGTTGATTAAAAAAACAATGCAAAAGGAAGCAGGTAAAAGCATTAAGCTAAAAGCTAAAGCTATTTGGGTTAATTGTGATCCACAGATGTTCTACCTTAGCCACATCTTTGTTCAACCAATGCAATTGCTGCTACATGTTCCAAGCCAATAAGCTTAAGGACAAGAGGATGCTTGCAAATCTTCATTCCAAAGGTGGTCTCTTATGAGCCCCGTACTTACTTCATATGTTTCAGACGTTGCATGAATCTATGTTTATGCCTATGTGTTCTGAATTTTGGATTTTGAGCTGCTAGCGGATCAAATTGCTGCATATTTACTAACCCATCATCCGGCAAGACAGTCTCTACCCATATTCTGCAGATATTATCGCGACAAGAAGTGACCAACATGTTTGAAACTGAACCCCTGTAAAAAAAAAAACAAAAAAAAACATGAATGTGTTATGTTGATTTTTTTCTATTTATAAGTAGATATACAATTAACTCACTTTGGCATATATTTACTAGTCTTTCTCCAGGATAATTGTGTGACAGCCCTCGGATGAGAAATATACACAAATCCATAATTAATCTCACTTACTCCAGGATTTCCATACGTCATAGATTGTTGATCAGAACTTTTAGAAGGAAATAACACTGTAATAATTAAAAAAAAAAATACAATAGACAATATACTAGATAAAAAACTAAAATCAAATAAGAAAATACAGACATTGTTTATTTTCAAACCATATTTTGACTAGTCTATCATTATAACCAGCAGTTGCAAAAAGCGTTCCATCTGGCGAAAATGCCATATGAAGTACTGGAGTAGCTGTAGCACATTTCCATACGCATTCCCATCCCTTTTCAATCTCCTCTTCGAGCCCGTTATTCAGGCTTCCACAAGCATCTTCTCCAATTTCGAATGTGACACCACTTGAGGTCATTCCTGGAAATTAAGTTGGTTCATGTTCGAAACAATAAAAGAAACTGAAAAAAAAAAAAAAATGCACCATCGTGGTCATCGTCAACTAAATGCATCGGTGTGTTCTGATGCCAGAGCTGAAGAATAGCCCCTCCTGTGAGGAGTCTTGTCCCTTCCAGGTTCCATGAAAGAGACGTGATATTGCAATCTGTCTGCCATGAACCGGTTTCCACCCATCGATAATCTAATTGCTGGAAAAACAATTTTTCTGTCAGGCTTAACGTAATCCAGGAAAAATTTATATCAATAACTACAGCTAGAATCTTAGATTTTTCAAATTTATATCTTCTATTATATTTATTTACTATTTTTACTTTTATTTAATTATTTATTATTTTGATGAAATTATATGTCGTTTCTTTAATAATGGGAAATATTACATGATCGCTGTTGTTGTGGATGAGAGGAGTTGGTTCAAATATGCAAACTTGACGTTCATAGGCGGCAGCGATTTTTCCAGTGTCTGTTGAGCAGTCCACACAGCTTATTCTGACGTAGTTGTGGATTGCTCCTGGTATAATCTGAACTCTTTCGAAAGTGCTTGCTAAAATCACAATATTGCAACCGGCAGCATAAGCCTAGAAAAAAAAAGTAATTAAATTTATCATCATTAATATAAACTCATTAATTCACTACTTTCGTGGTCCGCTTGACCAATTAATACATGACAATTAATTAAGGTTTTTAGTTGAGATGAAAAAAAGTTAATGGTACGAGAGGGATTCGAACCTACGACCTTCGGCTAGATACGCCGCTGCTCTCCCACCTGAGTGATCGTGACCTCAATTTTTCAATTTTAGGTTTCTAAATTTTGAATGGTGTAAGTGATTTAATCACCACATTTGCTGTGTATTATCAAAGTCTTAATAAAAAGACATTCTACTTTTTACACATACACATTATTTGAAAAATTAAAAAGAAGTTTTCATTTTAAAGAATAAATTCATTCTTGAAATGAAAAAATTGTTTTCTTAAAAGAGTTGTAACAGGAGGAAAAGCAAACAATTTTTACGACAAACCCTGGAAAATATGTTTGGCTGAGCTGGATGCTAATTGTCATTTCTTTGTTATTTGCTCCCAACTTGAATTTACAATATGCACACTGATAACAGGAGAGAAAACTGTTGACACACAATAAAAATAAGAGACAAAACGTTTATTACATTAAATGATAGCTTGGATAAAAAAAGAAAAAAAATGATAAAAAGATGATTTGTTTATTCTCGCTCATGATTAAAAGTTTTAGTTATATTATTGATTATTCCTCCCCTTTATATATTGACCAAAAGAACTATCTGCAGACAACCTTGAACTCATCTCAGAACACTATTCTTTTTTTTTTAAGTTAGGTTGAAGAATAAAAATGCTAAAATTGATTTTGTGATACATATAATTGATGATATTATTGTTCTCAGCAAAACTTGAGTAGAATTACAAAAAAGTCTAAATCCTACTGTTGTTTCAACACAAAACTAAACATTTTGCGTCTTAGCAAACAGTAAAAGAAACCAGTGTTTTGTAAATACAATTAGACAAGAATATTGAATATAGAATATCAGAAAGGAGACAAAAATGTTGTCAAGTATTTCACATATGGGATATATACTCACTGATGACTTTTTAAATCTAAAATTGTTCATTTACATGATAATAATGAGGATTTATGTGTTTCGTTTTAAGATAAAATTGCAGTAAAGAAAAACATTTAAGCCTAAAATAAAATAAACCACTTGATGTGTTGTTATATTGTATAATCATAAATTTTTTATTAGTTTGAAGAAAACTGCTTCGTTTTAGCCATGCTTGTTTAACGACTGGATTATTTTGTTTCTGCCTAAATATTCTAGAAAGTTGTGATAAATTATGACCTGGCCTGCAAGGTATGTTTGACCATCAGAAAATAGTGAAATACAATGAATCAAACGAGGATGATCAACCATCAAGGAAATTTTTTCAAATTTTTAATTGATGTCAACAGTTCAAACATTTTTGTGACCCAGTTCGATTGATACTGATCACTATCACTCTTCTTTCAGTGTATGCGATTAAAATAATGTGACATTGAATAGTAATTAAGTGATATTTATCAAAACATTTGTTTCTTCCTCCTCACTGACCAGATTAAGTAAAATGTAATTTGATCTTTTCCTGTTGTCAGACAGGTTCAGTCAAGGATCAGCCTATCCTTGATTTTTTGGTCTGTCAGAATCAAGATGATCAAAACTGACTAAACTAGTGATTTATCAACTAGTAGACCTTAAGGAGATGAGGGTGACCACCATTGGTGTTATCAATCTATATATGTAATAATAGGATATATATACAATATCATTTGTTCATTTCCTATAATTTTGGCCTGTCAGACAATATAAATTAGTTGTTTTCTAAAATAATCTCTGACTCTTTTACCCCGAAAAATACAATTTACAAAAAGATTTTCCTTCACTTTTTGCAAAATTAACAAGGGAAAAATAAAAATGTACCACTTTTATTACAATTAGTTGACAAAATTCATTGATAAGAAATTAGTCATTAAACTAGTATATTAATGATTACTGTCAATTTTTTTTTATATTATGGAAACGATCTGATAAATGACAGTTCATCGACACGTCGCCTGGCCTCACAGGAATATCACAATTTTTTAGAACTGCACTTCAGAAAGCAACTGAGCCAGAAAGCCTGCTGTTGATTCTCATGATGTCAACGATTACAGATCAAGAGCTATTTATAAAGGTTAAATAATTATATTTTCAAATTGAGAAAATAATTTGACAAATGACAGTTCATTGACACCATCTTCAGAGGTATGTCGCAATCTTGTTAGAATTACACCGCTAAAACAGAACAAGGTTAAAGTAAAAATGAAAATTTGAAATTTCATTTAACTAAAACTGAATGACAGGATATGGTAAATAATAAATTGAGCAAAACCTTTTGAATAGGCAGATGAATTATATAAACTGTAAATATAAATTTTTTTTTAAATAATTAGATTTATTTCTCAATAGCAGAGAAATAGGCAGTTTTTTTACTTTTGGTTAATTTCATTTGAACCTATTTTGCCTATATTTGAAGTTTGTGTGTTCAGTACTAATAAAACATAAAATATGAAAGTTGGAGTTTTCCTTCGACTGTAAATGTACAGTAAATGATTAGATAGATTGAAAGTGCCTTTAGGAAGGCAAATACGTTTAAAAATAGATCCAACAAGGAAAAAACAAAAAATAAGAAATATTGGGTTGTCCGGAAAATAATGCAGGATTTTAAGTTTTCNTTTTGATTAAAGAACATTGCTTTAAAGTAACTAGTTTCTTTTTTTTTGTTTAATACCAAAATCCTGCATTATTTTCCGGACAACCCAATATATCTATCTCTTTAGTTTACAATATTCATTGATTAGTAATCAATAGTACTACTTATTTAGTATTTGTCATTTAGGCCCTGATACTAGTTCAGTAGTTGTTTAAGTCTGTTGTGTAACTAAACTAACATTTTTGTTTATGAATTAGGAACCTAATAGTGTAATAGTAATGAGTTAGATTACAAAATATGCTAATTCACAGAAATTATTCCTGACTCAGTGTGTTGAATTGGTTGGATAATTCCTCAAATACTTATGTTTTGAACTAGCAAGCAGTAAATCTATTAGAAAAGTTTACATATGTCAATGTCAACTTTGGGCAATGAGAGAAAACGAGATTTAATAATTTAAAAAAAAATATTTGAGCTCATTAACAATCAATTAACTGTAATATATTTTATTTAGGGTGTCACAGGTTGGTAGTTGATTAAGAGGTGTTATATAATTCAAAAAACAGTTTCAAATCGGAAATCATTTTCAAGAGTTCTTTTAAAAACAGATTTTCTGAAATTATTCCTGACAGCCTTTAAGTCAAACTGCGGACAAAGTTCGTCCTATACTGATTCTATCCAACTGTTAATTCTCATCATGTCAAGGATCAAGAACGGAGATGAATTGGTAATGATTTGACTCACAAACTGACCAGCCTCAGCATCTCATACTCTTATTTGATTGTTAGTATTTAAACATTAAAAAAGGATGTAATAAAGAAAGGCTGCAATTTAATTCCCCAAGACCGAAGATATGGCAGACAATTTAATTTACTTAGAATATATCATATCAATTATAAAAAGTTTATATTATTAATATATATGTTTTAGTTGGTCCTCCTAACCAAAAGTAATTATTTTTAATTGATTTATTATTTTTATACAAAGTGTGGTTGGGACAAAAGATTAATGTCACAAGCTGGATTCGAACCCACGTTTGGCTCAAATATTTATTTTGCCCTCTAATTTGAATTGTGATAATAGGCTGGAAGTTGTTTTAGAATGGTTGTTATATAACAAAAAAGCAGTTTCAAATTAGAAACCATTGTGTTGCATAAATCAAGTTTGTGTTGAGAATAAAATATAGAGAAAAACAAATATTACAAACCAACAACACATTTTGGTCTGTACAGATCACCTTGGATATTTTTTCTCACGGTGTCTGTGATTGAGGACAAATGACAAGAGATTATTTCTTAACAATCAAACAGTTCATTGTCTCCCAGGCTGAACAGCATCAGTGAAATCTCGCAGTTTTGTTAGGATTAGACTTGTAGTACAAAAAAATAAAAGTAAAAATGAAATATTGAAATTTCATTTGACTTTTAAAACTGTACAATTTGATATGACAGCAATTATAAAAGTTTTTATAGTATGTTATAAATTGGACATGTTTTGTAATACCCAAGGTACTTTTACATAGAAGAAAAAAAAAATTCTATATCAAATTAAACTAAAAAAAAAAAAAAAAAAAAACTATATTTCTCTATATGATATACAGATCATCTCTCCTCCGTCTCTTGACTCTCTGCCTGGCTGTTTCCTCTCCCTTTCACTTTTATTATAAGGTGACTAAATTCATTGATCAACAATTGGCCATTATATAGAATACTGTTATAGTATTGTGCAGATATTGTTTTAAGACTGTTATGTAAAGCAGTTATATTTTCAAATTATGGAAATGATCTAACAATTGTCAACCTCAGAAGAATGTCACATCTTATTAGAATTACATTACTAACACGGAAAAAGCTTAAAGCAAAAATGAATGGTTGAAATTTAAACTAAAACTGCACAGCAGGATATGATAGATGGGTTAACTTAATCAGCATGGATTATGGGCAATTTATAAAAGTTTATGTGGTATATTGTAAAATGGATATTTTGCAAAGCCTAGGCACTTTTACAGAGAAAAGGATGGATTTTTATAATTTACAGATGGTCTTGCAAGTAGAACCAATGGCACAATTTAGTTCTGCACTGATGGTTCTCAAGGAGTTTGGGATTAAGAACAAAGGCCACGGATTATTTGGTAACGATGGAACAAATGTCCTTCCATATACACCTAGGCTTACAAGCATCAATGAAATTTTGCAATATTTGATATTTGTGCAATTTATTTTTAAAAAATATATAAAAATAAAAATTAATAGTTGAGATGTTCTTTAACCAAAACCACCTGACTTGTATAAATAGACAATTATAAAAGTTTATATTGAACCCTGCAAATTTGATTTTAGTGGTTTTGAAATATTACAGAAGCATTTGCAGAGAAAAGGACTGACTTCTTAACTTAAAAAATACACTGTAGTACTGTAGTTTTTTTTCAGATTATGCTTGCTACTGGCAAATCAAATAGTTAGTTTATAAATATACATTGATTGGCAATCAGCTTTAATATTTATTTTGCCCTCTCGTTTGGCACTGATACTAGATTGAAAGTTGACTTAAAAGATTGTTATATAATACAAAAAGCAGTTTCGAATCAGAAACCATCCAGCAACATAAACCAAATTTGAGCCTTGTATTAAATTTAGTAAATCAAAACATGTTTGAATGTAATGCAGGCTTGCAAGACACAACAATGACACAATTAAGCTTGGTGCTGTTTGTTTTCAAGGAGTCTGCACTTAACAAAAAAACGCCACAAATTGTTTGGTAACGATTGAACGAATTTCCTTTTAAAGACTTGTCAGCTTAGAAGCACTAGTGAAATTTCACAATATTTGTGTAATTATACTTGTAAAACGAACAAAACTAATGTTCATTCATTCATGTAAAAATGAATAGTTAATATTTTCTTTAACCAAAACTGCCTGAATCATAAAAGTTGATATCTGCACCCCAGTGTTTTTAGGCCAAAGACAGAAGGAAAAGAGTTACTACAAAAATTGAATTTGTACCAGGTCTGAAATTTAAACTAGCAATCCAGAAAAGTTGTGGTTTTGGACTTAACCAGTTTTGCTAAGAGGGTGCAGATATTGTATGCTATAAATTTGACACATTTTGAAATATGCATGTTTACAGAAAAAAGAGGCAGACTTCTTAACTTAAAAACGTATTTTTCCCCTATATAATTGATGATAGCGTATCAAACAAATAGTTTAGAAATATACATTGATTGGCAATCAGCTTTAATATTTACTTTGCTCTCTCATCTGAGTATTGATACTAGGTTGGAAGTTGACTTAGAAGATTGTTATATAACTCAAAAAGCAGTTTCCAATCAAAAACCCATCATCTTGCATAAATCAAATTTTTGAATAGTATTAAATTTAGAAAACAAAAACGTTTGAATATTTTGCTGAGTGTATTGCAAGTTGAACCACTGACACAGTTGGGTCAATTTATTTGATAACTGTTTGTGATTGAGAACAAAGATCACAGATTATGTGGTAATAATCAAACAAATGTTTGTTCCTCGACTGATGTAGACAACCTCATGTAAAATTTCACAATCTCAACAAACATTGTGGTGTTATGATAAATTCATAAAGGACAAAACGAAATATCGATTTTCTTTTAACTAAAACTGCATGCAGTAATATCTGCACCCTTGGGAATGAAATAATTGCATATTTCTATCTTCAGGCCTGACTGTATATTTGATTAAGTCGAGAAGGAAACCATTCTATTTTAAACGCAACATGCATTTTTGTCATATACTGAAATAGAATGAATGTAATTATTTATGTCCTGATGAATATTTGTCTAGGATAAAGAGGTGTTTCTATGTTTTTTCCCTGCCTTTGTTATTATCAATTAGCAATAACTCTGTTATAGGGATTAGCCAGGACTTCCTACAATTAATATTTCACTAATATTTGTTTCTTTTTGCTTTTAATTCTATTTTAAGTTTCTTTTTTCTTTTCTTTTTTTCAATTTCTTCTTCTTCTTTAATATCTTTCTTTTTTTGTTTTTTCCAATTACACTCCTCAATTGAAATTGGCATGTCAGCATTGTGCTTATATTTCAAGAGAGCTTTATAAATGTTATCATTCTCCGCAGCCAACAATGATTTGTAATTGAATGGTTTCTCTCTCATTTTGCATTCTGTATAGATCATTGGAAATTATCGTGTTTCTATGTTGTATCAGCATTGCTTTATTGGTAACATGAGATGGTATCTCTCGTGTAATTTTTTTTTTTTTTTTTAACACAGCTTGTTTTATCCATTTTGCTAAAATTGAAAGTACATCTCCAATATCTCTCGCTATGTTTGGACTCTTTCTGCATCTTTCCCTCTCTCTTTCTCTCATTTATGTTTTGCAGTTGTCGGTCCGTCTGATGCTCTCACTCACTCTCTGGCTCTCTTTTCCCTCTCACCACTCTGTCATTCTCTCTCCCTAAGTGAAAGAAAGGTTCAAGAGACCTAACTTTGTGTGAATAAGTAAAATCATCAATCAATCCCACTTTCTTGTTCACTCTCGCTCTCTCTCTCTCTATTTCTCGCTCTCCATGTCAGTCTCTGTCTCTTCCTTCCTCCTTTACCTCTTTTCAATATCTCTTGCTATGTTTGGACTCTTTTTGCATCTTTCCCACTCTTTCTCTCTCTCATTTATGTTTTGTGGGTCTTCTGTTGCTCTCACTCACTCTCTGGCTTTTTTTCTCCTCTCACCACTGTCTGTCATTCTCTCTCCCCAAGTGAAAGAAAGGTTCAAGAGACCTAACTTTGTGTGAATAAATAAAACCATCAATCAATCACACTTTCTTATTTCTCTCTCTCTCTATTTCTCGCTCTCCATGTCAGTCTCTTTCTCTTCCTTTCTCCTTCACCTCTTTCCAATATTTCTCGCTATGTTTGTACTCTTTCTGCATCTTTCCCTCTCTCTCTCTCATTTATGTTTTGTGGGTCTTCTGTTGATCTCACTCACTCTCTGGCTCTCTTTTCCCTCTCACCACTGTCTGTCATTCTCTCACCCTAAGTGAAAGAAAGGTTCAAGAGACCTAACTAGTGTGAATAAATAAAACCATCAATTAATCAATCCTACTTTCTTGTTCTCTCTCCGTCTATCTATTTCTCGCTATCTCTCTCTCAGTCTCTCCAATGTCTCTCGCTCTGTTTGTCTCGTTCTGCTTCTCCCTCCCCCTTTATCTCTCTTTTTCTCATCTGGCTGTGCATGTCAGCCTGTCTGTTGCTCTCATTCATTCTCTGATAACTCTCATTCCCCTCTGACCACTATCTGTCATTCTCTCTCTCTCTCTTTTCCATCTCACCACGGTCTGACACTTTCTCTCTCTCTTTTTCTCGTTTTCTCTCTCTCTTTTCCATCTCACCAAGGTCTGACATTTTCTCTCTCTTTTTCTCGTTTTTTTTCTCTCTCTCTCTCTCTCTCATATTCACTATCTCTTTCTCCTTTCCCTCTCCCCAATGTCTCTTGTGCAGTTTGACACTTTCTGATTCTCTTTCTCCTGTTTGTCTGTTGGTGTCTGTCATCCTCTCTCTTTCTCCCACTCTTTTCAGTACAAATGAATAACTGTATAATTGGTGGTATGGTAATTGGCTAGTGGTGTGTTAAAAACTAGACAAGTGCTGGTGAACAATGTGATAAGTACCAAAAATTAAAATAAAAAAACAAACTATTTATTAGGGTAATTATATAAATTGTACTAAAGGTCTAAAATTACAATTAGCACAACTGAAAAGTTGTACTTTTTTGATTTAACCAGTTTTGACCTGAGGATGCAGATATGATACGATTGTACATTTAAGAAGAAAAATATGTTTAGAATTAGCTTGGATCAAATACATTTTAAAAGTAATAAAAAACTTCATGAAGTAGAGATAAATAATATAGTATTAATCAGAAATCTTCTCCATGGGTTATAATTGTGTAAAATAAGTAAAAAAAATAGTAGAAATGTACTAATTAAAAGTATAAAAAAATGTGCAAGAATTTTAATGCAATAAATGTTATCAGTGTGTTTGATAACTTTTTCTTGTATTTATTTTGTTGGATATAATACTTAAAATTAATAATTTGATTATTAATTACATTGAAAAATAGCGATCGATGGAAAAAGGCAGACATCAAAGGGCCTTGTCCCCCAGGTTATTTTCCACCATAACAAGGGAGGCCACCAGGGTCGGTTATCTGATAACGACATGACAGAACGGGGACGGACACTTTTCGAGCGGATCTTCTGCATTGCAGATGATAAAATCTGACAAGAGAACCAAGTAAAGAAAAAGTACAGTTTTATAATAATTAATCCCAAGGGTGGAGAAAGATTTATCGAGGAGAAAAAGAAAGGTTTTGGGACGGAGGTAAAAGGTCCGCGATAGTCCATCTGGTCTAAAATTCTCAGATACTCACAGTGAACGGGATCCCTTCGACGCTACCGACGGCGAAGCAGCGATCGCCAGCATTACAGGCACCGCTCAGGATCTGGTGGCAATTCATGATTCCGAGTCGGAAGAATGCTAAAGGAAGGAAATTCGTCTACAGCAATCCTCCTTTCCGAGAACACGGAACATAACTCGATCTCCTGGTTTCGGATGAGTGTCACAAACAGTCGGACGTTAGAAAATCGCACAGCATTTTCCGAGATGGACTGACACGATTCTAAAGTCTAAACCCGTATCAATTCTTGTTTGAGAGGAGGTTTCGATTTGTTGGTGGGGGAGTCGGTGATTTCCCCGACTTCGTAATGGCCTCGGTCGCGATATCACTACATGGGCCGACCCTTCTATTTGAGAGGAGTAGGGAATTTTGGTATGTCTTGGGACGGTTTATGAGAGATATATCTTAGTTTTTATGTATCGTGAACGGTGCTGCTGATCTGACTTTACGGTCGTGGAGCGCTCCGTTCATTTCCTGCTGCGAGACCTGTCAGATTGCGTCACGACCTCGACCTCCACTTTCCAAAGGACGTCACGTCTTGCATACACATGGCTAATTACGTTCGAACTAGTTTCAAAATCCGATGACAATCCGTTTGAAAAGTTTCCAATAATTGTCTATTTTCGATGTTTTAATCAAACCTGCGTCCCCCCACTGTCTGTCATTCACTTTCTCTCTCTCTCTCTACTTTCCACCTCGCCACATTCGGTCATTTTCTCTCTCTCTCTCTCTCACTCACTCTATCTCTCTATTTTTCATCTAATCACTTTCTGTTACAACCTCTTTCTCTCTCTGTCTATTTTCCATCTCGCCACTTTCTGTCATTTCTCTCTCTCTCTCTCTATTTTTCAACTAATCATTTTCTGTTTTCTGTCACAATCTGTCCCTCTCCCTCACTCTCTCTCTCTCTCTCTCTCTCTCTCTCTCTCTCTCTCTCTCTCTCTCTCTATTTTCCATCTCGCCACTTTCTGTCATTTCTCTTACACACACACACACACTCTCTCTCTCTATGAGAGAGATTTTCTATAAATTAATGATTTAATTGATTATAATTTAGCATGTCTCATCTTCAATGCGTTAAACTGAAAAACTACATATATTTTACATAGCAATAAAATATAGATCTGATGTACATAATAAAACTAAGCAACAGTAACACAATAAAACAGAACCACAACATTTAATAATTAATTTGCAATTAAAAGTGTGAGAGTGTTTTGAAAATTATCAGTTGAAATTCAGCATTGTAACAAAATAAGTATGTTTAGAAAAAACTAAAAAATTATTTTATATCAAAAGATGAGTAAAAATATTAAACTGTAATATTAATTGTTTTCTTTCTTTTACCGCAATTAATTACAAAGATTGTAATTTTTTTCAACTAGAAATAATCGCATCTCAGTAGAACTTCATCAATTACGATATTGCCACTGCGCAAAGATTGTCATGTTAAGATGTTGATAATGTATCTTTACAACTGTCACTTAAGTTTATAATGTTAAACCATTACAAATGTCTGTTGTTAGTTTTTTCTCCTGATAGAAGTTATGTTTGTTATTATTTAAGGATTACTTTTTATTTTGAATGAGTTAATCCACTGCAAACAAGTGCACAGTTTGTAAGAGATAATTAATTGGTTAAATTTTGTTGTGTATAGTAGATTGCGTAGAGTTTATAAAATCATGTTGATGTAATTTCACTTTAGGTGTAAGAGTGGTCAAAGAGACCAAACCTTGAGTGATTGTTAAAAAAGCGATAATCAATCAATCAATCTTTCTCTCTCTCACTCTCCCACACTTTCTATCTATCTATTTTTCACCTAATCACTTTCTGTCACATTCTGTTTCTTCTCTCTCTCTTTTCCATTTCGCCATTTTCTTTGATTTCTCTCTCACTCTCTCTCTCTTTCTCTCTCTCTCTCTCTCTCTCTCTCTCTCTCTCTCTCTCTCTCCACTTTCTTTCGTTTTCTCAGTGTCTTTTTCTACATTTCTAGTTTTTATCTAGTCATTCTCTGTCATTTCTCTCTCTCACTGACATTTCTCTATCTCTCACTCTCTCTCTATCTATCTATCTTTCTTTTTCCATCTCGCCACATTCGGCCATTTCTCTCTCGCTCACTTACTCTATCTCTCTATTTTGCATCTAATCTTTTTCTTTCACAACCTGTCACTCTCTCTCTCTCTCTCTCTCTCTCTCTCTCTCTCTATTTTCCATGTCGCCACTTTCTGTCATTTCTCTCTCTCCCTCTCTATCTATCTCTCTATTTTTCATCTAATCATTTTCTGTCACAATCTCTCTCTCTCTCTTTCTCTCTCTCTCTCTTTCCAACCTCGCCACATTCGGTCATTTTTTCCCTCTCTTTCTCTCACTGTATTACTCTCTCTCTTTTTGATCTAATCGCTTTCTGTCACATTCTGCTTCTCTCTATATTTATCATCATTTTATTATTTTCCATCTGTCACTTTCCGTCATTTCTCTCTCTTTCTCTCACTCTCTTTCTTTCTCTCTCCCTCCACTTTTCATCTCTCAACTTTCTCTCTCTCTATCATCTATCTTTCTAGCTATCTATTTTTCATCTAATCTCTTTCTGTCACATTCAGTGTTCCTCTCTCTATTTTCTCTCTCCCCACTGCTTTCACTTTCTCTCTCTCTCTTTTACACTCATTCTCTCTCTCTCTCTCTCTCTCTCTCTCTCTCTCTCTCTCTCTTTCTTCCTCATTCACTCTATCTCTCTATTTTTCATCTAATTTTTTCCGTCACAATTTGTCTCTCTCTCTCTCTCTATTTTCCATGTCGCCACTTTCTGTCATTTCTCCCTCTCTCTCTCTTTCTATTTTCCATGTTTCCACTTTCTGTCATCTCTCTCTTTCTCTTGCTCACTCACTCTATTTTTCATCTAATCATTTTCTTTCACAACCTGTCACTCTCTCTCTTTTCCATCTCGCAACTTTCTGTCATTTCTCCCTCTCTCTCTGCCTATCTCTATACCTCTCTATCTCTCTATTTTTCATCTAATCTTTTTCTGTCACAATATCTCTCTCTCTCTCTCTCTCTCTCTATTTTCCATGTCGCCACTCTCTGTCATTTCTTTCTCTCTCTCTCCCTCTCTATCTATCTTTCTATTTTTCATCTAAACATTTTCTGTCACAATCTCTCTCTCGTTTTCATCTAATCGCTTTCTATCACATTCTGCCTCTCTTTATATTTATCATCTAGTCATTTTAATATTTTCCATCCGTCACTTTCCGTCATTTCTCTCTCTCGCTCTCTCTCACTCTCTCTCTTTCTCTCTCTCTATCCTCTCTATCATCTATTTGTCTAGCTATCTATTTTTCATCTAATCACTTTCTGTCACATTCTGTGTTCCTCTCTCTCTCTATTTTCCCTCTCCTCACTGACTTTCATTTTCTCTCTCTCTCTCTCTCTCTCTCTCTCTCTCTATCTATCTATCTATCTATTTTTCTCTAATTACATTCTGTCTCATTCATTCGCTCTCTCCTCCTCTCTTTATTTCCTCTCTCAACGGTCTTTCACTTTTTCTTTCTCTTTCACGCTCATTCCCTCTCGCTCTCTTTCATCACTGTTTGTCATTCTCTCTCCCTCCCTCTTTCTCATGCTCTCTTTATATTTTCCAAATATTGACACCGATATTTTTTATAATTCAGGAATTTATTAAAAGATTTAGTTAGTTTAAAAATAAAAATACCTCTCAAAAATAATAAAAACGAAAAAACACTTTTGTGTATGAACATAAAACAATATAAAACACACTTAAAATTCTTTAATAGAGCATATACCTTATCAAGCTTTTATTGTACACTCTAATCTTTTCAGCAGTTAATTGAGCCTTTAACAACTTGAGGATTGTCATACCAAATCTCAACTAACATAACTTTCAGTTCAACTAAGGATGTAGGAGAGTTTTTTCTTCGTTTTACCCAACTCCGAGCTCATCCCAAAAGTACTCAATGGGGTTCAGATCAGTGATACGGGCTGGCCTTCTTAGTGTAAATATTGATTTCTCGAAAGTACTGCATAATACTGGTGGCGACAGTTGATCTTGCATTATCTGCCATAAACAAAAATTTCTCGCCAATAACAGTAGCAAATGGCACCACATATCCTCAAGAATTTCTGTCACGTAGATTTCTGCCGTCTAGTGACGGTCTATTAAAAACCCCGTTTTTCCCTCCAAAGAAATTCCATTCCACACCATAACTAAACCACCTCCGAACGACCCTCTTCCGGCGATGTTGCATTGGCTGTAGAGCTCTACATCTGCTCCATATACTCGAAGGCTCCGTCTGGTAAACGGGGAGAGACAAACTGGGACTCGTCTGAAAACATAAAATTTTTTACAGATTCTGTTCAATATTGTCCTTTGCAAATCGAAGCGGTCCTGACGATGGTTTCTTGTAAGAGGTCCATTGCTACCCTTCTGGGATAGATTCATTTCTGCAAGCCTCCTTCTTACTGTTTCAGTGTTTATAAATCTCGCACAGTTCAGTCTTGGAGACTTCTTGAAGCAGTGGAAAAGCGATTTTTCAGAGTTAAAATATGATAAGGCTTGGGTGTCCCTCCTGGTCTCCAAATGTACCTTGCAATCTCCTGGTACCACTGAATGCCCAACATCCGTAATTTTAGATAAACCTAAAACTCTTTTTCTTCCATCCTCAACGAGTGCAATGGCACGGGCAACTTGCTCTCTGATAATGAGCATTTTCGTAATCGGTTTGTTTTGTGCCACCAGCACAATAATGACAAAAGGTATTTTTAAATGCCCTTGTTGATGATTTAATTGTGGAGATTGTAAATAACATTAAGATTTACGTGGTTTTGCCTCACAATCGGTAACAACAACAAATACCTTCCGTCTAATTATAATTATTAAATCATTTTTAAAGTAATAAAACAAAAAATATGGCCAAAACATTGTCAAATTAAAAAATAAATCCAAATTTCAAAGTGCGCATTTTTTTGTGGAACAGTGTATTTTTTCTTCATTAATAATGTAGTAATATTTAAATATTTTTTTTAAGACTTTATACATATTACATATCTGATCACAATGTTTTTTCACGGTCATTTTCACAAATGCCATGAGAAACCAGGCATTGCTGGCATAGTGTGAGGGATTAAGGAGCAGGTCTCGAGGACATCGTCTATTAAGTTGATGTAGCGGGTTCTCGGGATGAAAATGTGTAGAGAGGGCTCGGGCAGTAGGGTTGGGATGATCGAGAGGTTGGTGTAAAACTTCTGGATTCGTGAATTATCATCGTGGATCATCTAGGAACGCGCCCAAATTCTTTATTCCCTAGAGCAGAGGAGATAGTGTCGACATCTCTGAAACCATGTTGGATCGTGGAATGATAACGACTAAAGACGAATTGGTGAGAAGGAATGATTTGATGGTTTCTAGGATGGGTATTAAGCGCTTTAAAAGGAATCTTTCGAGGATTTTG